TTCTGATTTTCATCATCCAATAAGATAAACTTGAAGACCGAGGTTTAAACTTGGTGCCCCTGAATCCTCAAACACTCACAAAAACCCAAGTTTTGGGCCTACCAAGGAGGCTAGTATTTCGGAGTGTATATAAAATCTATTTGTCTTTTATATACACACCGGGAGTGTATATAGCCACGGCGAAAATTTATTATGGTCTCATTCATGTATTACTCCGAGTGTACCCCCCTAAAAGAGTACCAAGTCAAAAACTAAACGGCTGTATGAACGAGTGTTTTTATTGGTGAGAATTTCCCCTTTAGCCATCCCAACTGATGTAAAACGTCAAAGCGGTGAAAGCTTGTTTGTAACTGATGAAATTAGGACATAATTGTCGGCAGCCGCGCGCTAGGTCGGACGTGCACAGTCCAGCGTTGTGAGTTGTGCGGTCGTAGGTTTGCAGCGCGGGAGGGCCTCTTGCGGGCAGCCGCTAGTTGCAGTTTGTAATTCCCATAAAATGGGATTGTGTGTATAGAAGTCGTTGGCAATTTTTTTATGAGACGTAGAGTAAGTGTTCTCAACATAGCATGAAAGATATCAATTGATTTAATGTAGGATCATAGGGAACACGGTCTCGCAAGTCACTCATTAATGCATGGTTTCTAATGTATGGAAAAAACTCATGAATGAGACCATAAACAGGCTCGAATCGAAACCGGAAGTGAATGTACACTCGAGAGTGCGGACTTAGTAAAATGGTTCGCTCACCTTGTTTCTTGTTGTGGTGATGTCATGCCTGATTTTTGCGGTGTGCAGTAAGCGGTGGACAATGACAACTGTTCCGTGAACGTTGTGACACCGCGTCAGTGCCCTGTTGTACAGAGCAGTAGCTCTGGTCAAGTTTTTAGTGTCCCCAGTTTCTGTTCCTCTTTTCAGGTACACGTCACCAAGACTCTTGATCGCTTCTGTTTCTAATATGTTGTTGTCGTTTACTATCGCCTCTACCATCACCTGTGCGTATCCGACCAGCAAAGAGTCTGTATTACCACCGGTAGCCCGTCTCTTGTCCAGATCTTGGAACTTTTCCGCTACCTTTGCAGGTGTAGTCGTCCCCTTGTCCTCTGTTGGCTGTTCCTTACCCTGTGACGACAGCCCTTGTAAAAGCCTCTCCGTGTAGTGGTAGCGGTGTTCTATACCATCTGCCTGTTCTTCATGGTAACACCGCACCATAGCAGCAATGTAAAGCGCCAAGGCTGTGTTGAACTTCCCCACGTCCTTCCCGAGTCTTCCCTTCTCCAAGTTCACGTCGCCCAGAGTTTTGAGCAGCTCCACTTCTGCCCGCCTGTCCGTGTCGGCCATGGCGTCCACCAGGGCACGGAGGTAGCCTGTCTCCGCACGGGCTAGTCCGTACCTCCTGCCCTTCTTGTCCGCCTCTCGGAGTTTCTTACACACCCGCAGCATGTTCAACTTCTGCTATTAAAGAGATTGTGAAACCCCCTCTACCTTCACCGCTCTCTGTTTTAGCGTTACAAACAGGTCTGGGCAGGGTTGTTTCGCTTCCGGTATTTGTCGTCACTTCCGGCTTTGGCTCGAAACGGCGGCTACAAACAAAAATGTGCCGGAAAATAATCCGTAGTGATCTAAGGACGATGGGGGATGTTTACAACAGTTGTTACGGGGATTTTGTGTGTAATTTATTACCATGGTTTCACTGCATGCTATGGAAGAGTTCCACGATTTCATACCTTCGCCAAATGATGTTAACCTTAAGTTTATAGCATATGATAACGATATCTCAAAAATGATACAAGTAAGGTCCTCGTTTGCATAATTTTTTTATTCAGTTCATCATCTTCTCCACCCAAATAGAATTTCCTCATTAATCATGTCAATCAGTGGGTTTGATGTACGATGCAGGACTTTATACAGGAGAGATTATTTACACAATTTTCTCATTTTGAGGGGGATTATTATTTATAAAATAAAAAAAAATAAAAAAAACATTATGTAAATTAACACTTAATTTGCAGAATTAGTGAGAAAATGATATTATTCCATGATGGTAACTGCCTGGAATGTCATACTTGGCGTATTTGAAAGTTAAGTGAAGGTGAACATCATTAAATATAACTTATTTTAAAAGGACTACATTTGCATAATTCATGAGGAAATGGTAGAATAGCTTTCTTTGTTAAGATAAGGTTGTCTTTTGGTGGAGAATATGATCTGATATGATTCATGCAAATGAGGATCCTATTTGCATAATAAGGAGGAACAATCTTTGCTTTGTCAGTCATAAAGATTAACATCATTAGGCGAAGGTATGAGATCGTGGAACTCTAGTTTATATGTACTGAAAAGTATTTGCCCGTAAAAAATGCTAATAGGTATTATGGGGATAAGTGTATTTTATTTTATATTTATGTGGTGAATTAATAGCATTTGCACCCCTACTCCCATTCATCAGAATGAGGTTCAATATTCCTCTACATAGTGAATCAATTGATAGAATTTTCTACCAATAGCTATCCCATGTAAAAGTAGCACATCTTTTTAAAGACAGTAATTTTCAGTACTAAAAACATGGGATAAATAACCTGACGATTTACATGCACTGTACATGTAGAAAAATACATATTCCTAATGCAACTAGACAAACATTCCATCGAAAAATGTATCTGTTCTTTTATATCTACCATAACTGAAAAGCTAGGAGAAGTTGAAATTCATCTAGTGGTACATGTTAGTTTTGTTTTGTATTTGTTCATCTTGCATTGTTCTGACCTGCAGCTGTACTTAGCCCAGTGTGGCAAAAATGTACAATACATGTCATGATTCAACAAATCATCTGCCTTTATACACAATTACCCTTCCTCTTTTCATCGTATTGACCATATGCCACTTGCCAGTGTCACATTACATTTCGGACATCAGACGGAGAGGGTAAAATGCTGATTTCAAAATATATACCATGTTTGTGGGCTGGCGGCATGGTCAAATTCTTAATTCTGCAGACCCTGTTTGATCTTCAAGCAGATGCTTGGCGGCAAAAGCGTTACGGTTAGAACTGGCCATCTGGAGAGTTCTCAACCACTGTCTAGGTCTCAACCGCTGAAAACTAGACAAGAGAGACAGGAGGTTTTTTTAACTATTTTCTTTTTTTTTAACTTTTCGACGTGACTGAGACATAGACAAAGGAAGGGGAATAGAAAAAGGATGTGCCAAGCTACCCACGACAGGTTACTGTCCAAGTGCTCCCACCAACCCACTCCTGCCAACTTGACACATCAGAATAAAATAATGACATAAAAGACAGACATTTCACAACAAAAAACTGATACGACTGGAAGGGAACGGGGCATTAAAACCGCAGGTGTAGTTTCCCCCCTACGACCTTCGCCCAACGTACTGTAAAGCACCACTGAGCTAGGAAAGCTGCCTTACCGAGGCGTATAAAGTCTAGCTTCAGCCTTGAGCGGAGGCATTCCTTGATGTACGGCACTATCTCAACGGGGGTTATAAACGTTTTGTCAAAGCGTGCCTCACATTCCGAGGACCAAATGCGTTTCCTCGTGACAGCGATGACCTAGATTATAACATCTCTCTTACACTTTGGCCAGGAGGTTGTCACAATACCAAAGATGAGTTCTAACCGTAATGCTTTTGACGCCAGACATCTACTTGGAGATTATTAGACCTTCAGTGGCTATATTCTATAATGTCGTTTTGTCCTCGCGGGCCCATTTTAGACAAAGTTTGTGCGGTCACATTTGCCGTAGTTCGTCGCTCAATTTTGATACTACATAATTTTCAGGCAAGCTGTGGCACATAAAACTGCAGACAAGGATGTAAGGCGAATCTTTTTATAACGAGACAGCTTTTCAGAAAACGCGCACAATTATCTCAAGAATTACTTCAATTTTCGATCGCACAACAACCATACATCACGTATTTGCATGTTTTACCTGCCCTTAGTGACATTAAACACACATTGCGACGTATATATCTTGAATCTTGAATATATGCTCTACAGTTTGTCTAACGTTGTACTGTAAAACCTGTAAGGATGTTGTAGAGAAGGGAAAACCTTCACTTTTGTTTTACACGCTTTTCCATTTGTTCGTTAAGTAAAAGGCAGACGTGACGTCAAAAGTTGTATCAGGCCTCTGGAAGATTACTATTGATAAAGTTGTCTCACATTCTTGCGTATTATTCACGAAGTAGAAAGTACTGGAAGAATGACCCCCCCCCCCCCATCAGGTTAGTAACCTCTGTGCTTACCTTTGCAGACTTGTGCTCAGTAGTTTAAAAGAAAGCCTTATGTTGCTTAGCTTAGCCCTTGTCTTGCGGAGCACAACAATTGTTGTTCTGCACATACAGTACCATCTATATAGCACCCTGTATAGGTACGATTTGGGCGTATTTCTCGTGCAACGCATCACACCGCCGCGAAACGCAACGAATGCGGAAGTAACTATGCAACTGCAGGGCAAAAAAATTCAGGGTCTAATTAAGACATGAAATTATTGAAAAATGTTGTGCCAGGGATGCCAGCAGGACAAGGGTTTTAAGAAACGTGTTCACTCTGGATGAAGATACTCTGGAAACACAAGGCCATGTCACAGGAAACAGTGTTATTATTATAAGATCCAGCCATTAAAATAATTCTTATCTGGAAACCGTATTTTTCACCTATTTCAATTTCCAGCATTTGGTGGGAGGATCATGCACCTTTGTGAAATGGCCACATTTTGTGTACTTGCCTTCCTGAAGTTAGGGTTAATGTTGTCGACAAACCACCCACCACCCCACAAACATGCAGACCATATATACGTTCAACTTAGAGCAGTTCATTTACTACCATCGCTCTGACGATAATCCACATCTTTCGACATCTACAACTCCTATTCAGAGAATTGGTCACCGAGTTAACTGCCATCACTCACTCACTCACTCACTCACTCACTCATGAACTTACTCACTCACTCAATCACCCACTCACTCACTCAATCACTTTCATCTCTTTTCATTCATTCACTCACTCACTGCGTTCAGCTCACTCGGAAGCCAAATATGACTGTTTCCTTTATTCCTTGTAACAGCATAGATATGTGATTTTAGATATAGGAGATAACAAAATTGACGAATTGGCTGCAAACTTACAATGAATGCATGAAATTCCACCATTGACTACACGTATGTATATATATATATATATATATATATATATATATATATATATATATAGTCTCCCTACGCAATACATAGTCTTGCAAAGTACATTAATTTCCCTTATTATTTAAAAGAAGGAGCCATACAAGCAATGTGTGACCAAGATAGCCATGTAATGACATGATATGGCAGATAGATTGGCGATGTGCAGTAGTGTCTCCATAGTTAGCTAGTCATGAGAGACGATTGTCGATAACTAATAACGACTTTACTCTACTCGCAGATGGCACTTTTACATGATCTAATGTTGTGCATTACTTTTGCAAAGTTGGGATGTGACGTGCCATACATAACTATTATCATATTCAAACTCTGTTCGTAATACCGCAGGGCTTTCCTGTGATCACCAAGTCTGTGCCAACATAATCCAATGTTATTTAATGATGAAGCAATGTCAGAATGTTCTGTTGTTTCGCCATAGATAGCTTTCATCATCTTCAGTGACTGTTCATGATAACTGATAGCTTTCCTCTGATCACCAAGGTCACTCCAACAGGTCCCAATGTTGTTTAGTGATCCAGCAATGTCGGAATGTGGCGTTGTTTCGCCATAGATAGCTTTCATCATCTTCAGCGACTGTTTGTGATAACTGATAGCTTTTCTCTGATCACCAAGCTCACGCCAACAGGTCCCAATGTTGTTTAGTGATCCAGCAATGTCGGAATGTGGCGTTGTTTCGCCATAGATTTCTTTCGTCATCTTTAGTGACTGTACGTAATAACTGATAGCTTTTCTCTGATCACCAAGCTCACGCCAACAGGTCCCAATGTTGTTTAGTGATCCAGCAATGTCAGGATGTGGCGTTGTTCCGCCATAGATTTCTTTCGTCATCTTTAGTGACTGTACGTAATAACTGATAGCTTTTCTCTGATCGCCAAGGTCACGCCAACAGTTCCCAATGTTGTTTAGTGATCCAGCAATGTCGGAATGTGGCGTTGTTTCACCAAAGACAGCTTTTCTCATCTTGAGCGACTGCTCGTGATAACTGATAGCTTTCCTCTGATCGCCAAGGTCATGCCAACAGGCCCCAATGTTGTTTAGTGATGACGCAATGTCAGGATGTGGCGTTGTTTCGCCATAGAAAGCTTTCCTCATCTTCAGTGACTGTTCGTAATAACTGATAGCTTTCCTCTGATCGCCAAGGTCACTCCAACATTTCCCAATGTTGTTTAGTGATACAGCAATGTCAGGATGTGGCGTTGTTTCGCCATAGATAGCTTTCATCATCTTGAGCGACTGTTCGTAATAACTAATAGCTTTTCTCTGATCACCAAGGTCTCTCCAACACGTCCCAATGTTGTTTAGTGATTTAGCAATGTCAGGATGTGGCGTTGTTTCGCCATAGATAGCTTTTCTCATCTTCAGTGACTGTTTGTAATAATTGATAGCTTTCCTCTTATCGCCAAGGGCACTCCAGCAGAACCCGATGTTGTTTAGTAATGAAGCAATGTCAGGATGTGGCGTTGATTCTCCAAAGATAGCCTTTATCATCTTCATGGACTGTTCGAAATAACTGATAGCCTTTCTCTGATTACCAATGTGACTCCAATATTTCCCAATGTTTCCAAATAGCGAGGAAAGAACGGGACGCGTTTTTGTATCTGCATAAATAGTATTTTCAGAGCTAAGTGCCCGTTTGTAGTAACTGATCGCATCTTTATAGTCACCCCGCATTTGCGAAACATTTCCTAATTCAAGAAGTATTTCTAACTTCTTTTTCTCGTCGCCGCCCGCCTCTTTCAGTGCTGCCTCAAAGTAACGTACGGATGCGTCAAATTGCAGCAGTTGTTTCGTTATTCCACCCCTGGTTTGAGATGACGTGTCAAAGATGGCTGATGGGAATATCTTTGTGGTTTGATTTTCCTTTTGAACTGTATCGATAATACATCTTTTTAATGGAATGGCAGTATAGTAGTACCTGAACAACATTTTAGAGTCCGGTATGTGGAAAACTGAATCAACGATGGTGTCATCTACGTCTTGTTTGTCCAGTTGGGTTTTCATCTCCATGAGAGGAGACAGTCTGTCCTTTTGTCCTTCGTTGGCAATGTACGTTCTTAACCGTAGCTCCGCTGAGATGCTGATCAGTACAGTCAAGTGGTGGGCATCTTCGTCTCTTATCCGCTGTGTCTTGTGTAACTCTTCTATCATTCCCCACACACTGGGGATTGTGATACCACAGCAAATACTCAACACATCAACGGCCACGCTGGGAAAACGGTAGATTTCTTTCTTCACATCCAGAAGTTGGTCCGTTGGTTTAACATTTTTTATTTCCCGAATGGTATCCTTCAGTATTAGCATTGCTGACAACCGTGACAGAACAGGGGAATGGTCTACGCTTTTGTTGACAATGCTTGTATACTCGTCTACCAAAGACTCGTCTCCTGTTAAGTAGGTCACCCTTCTGAGGATGTCTGACAGGTGATAGCCTTCCGCCAGGGCAATTCTGATATTCTGATACTTGGCCAACTCGGCAGGAGTCTGGATGAGACTAACGGGATCTTTCGTTTTGGTTCTGTCTCTTCCAAACGGAGTCTTAGAAGCCCATGGCATGAAGCCGTCAAAGGCGAAGCCACGAGGTGTGACAGAGTCGTAGAACCAGTCTTTCTCTGGGTCTTCTGAGAGAAAGTCGTTGAGTGACGGGATGGCCATGGCTGGGAGGATGGTTTCTCCAAGGTTGATGACTTTTAGATGTAAGTAGTGTGTGAGATTTAGGAAGTACCTCCGTGTATCATCATCACCCTTCCCCTCCTCAATCAGAATGGCGAACTCCAGGTCGGAGTACGGCGTCACCAGTTCTGTGGCCTGTGACCCCATCCCGATGAAAGCGTACTTACAGGGAGGAGGTCCGAGTTTGGCGATGCATTCATCTGTCAGTACTTGGATAAACTCTCGTCTTCCAGCTGTGATGCTCTTGAACAAATTCTTGATTGCTTCAGCTCGTTTGATCTCTACCTCTCTCACGACGGGATCGTCTTCATCATACTGATAAGGGTTGTGTTCCTGATGAACTGCTTCGAGCTGAGATTTTGCATGGGCGCGCGAGTTGTCGAGTTCCTTTATGTGATCTAACGCACTGTTATACGGACACGGTTCACAGTCTAGGTTACATGTGTTTCTAAGAAACCGTCTTTCTGTCTCTTGCAGTTTTCTTACCATGTTTTGTTTGTCTCCATCTGACCGAGCCATGGAGGCGTTATACAGTGCTGCCGCCTGTGTGAATTTCCTACCTTCTCCTGTCCGCTTACCTCGCTCGACGTAGACGTCACCCAACCTGCACAGACAGTCGGCTTCTTTAGCCTTGTTGGGTTTACTGCGATCTGTGGGTATGAAGTTTGAAAAAGTAGAATTTACCAGACGGGATTTATATTTTTTTCCGTTTGATTGGTGTTACTTAAGGATGATGCTTATGGTCAAAGTGGGCAAGGTATACTTAAATGTTCAAATATTCAAGCATTAACTACAAACAGTATACTGTATCACAGACCGTGAACCAGCTTCAGGGCGGCTGCTAGGTTCTGTTCTGCTGCGTCCAGGTCTCCATAGTCCAAGTCACGGTCTGCCGTCTGGAGGTACCTGCGGTAGGATCTGAACAACGAAACAAACGTTGTTGTGAAACAATAGTGCTTCACAAAGGCGACAACTGTACTCCAAAGTGTCGTACAAAATCAGTAGTATATCATTCATTCTAAAGTACACCTTATACTTCTGTTACACACAGTAAGATTTAATGACACGTGGTCGTACATTTCAGGACATCTTTCCTCACGTTGGCTGATTGATCGTTAGCATTCCAAAACTTGATTTTAACATGTTTAATATTATGCCCTATTATGTAGAAAATAGTCAATGGTCTTTAAATATTTCTATTTATTTAAGAGTTACTTTGACTGGAAATAGCACTGGTTACATCAGACAAAGAAACACAGAAACACCAACATGTCGTTGTCAACTTGACTGGTGGTTCCGTCGCTAGAGGGCGCAGCTGAGAAGGGAGAGAAGTGGTCCTTCCGTCCTCTCACGTCTTGTTGTTTTTGGGTACGTGTTGCAATCTGAGAGAACAGATAGAAAGTAGTAAAGTTTTCTGTATGATTAACAGGTGGTCAACTAAACTTCAGATAGCTTTAACCAAAGGTCAAAGGTAACTGACCTTAAATGACCCGTGGAAGGCCACACAAACTGAGACTACGTTGAAATAGACCGTATTCATCATATGGTTCCGGGTCGGAGTTTAAATCTGACCAGAGTCTAAGTACTAAGTAAGTGCGCAGTAAATCGCCGGAAAAGTCACTTTGTTTCGTATTTTTGGCCGCGATATCCCTGATATCGTAATATCTGTGTACATATCTTTGTATTTCCTGAAAAGCCAGTGAGTTGTAGCCTTTATAGGTACCGTATTGTTGGTAGTCCAGCGAAGACTTCCTGGTATTAGTCCGCGCGGATGGTTATGTGGCCTTTTCGCCGGGATGGTGCGTTCTATATGCGTTGTGGGTGTGGTTGGGCCATAAAAGATAGCGGTAAACGTATCGCATCGATTTTAATTAAATTAAAATTTCGGAAACATCAGGTACTGAGCTTCGTCGAGTACTAAGCCATTACCTTGGGAAAATTCGTTTTTTCCATGCAGCCATGGTTAAAAATGACGAAAAAAAAGAGAAAAGGACCCCTTACTTAAAAATGTACCTTAAGCCTTATTCACTCCTAAATAAATTGGGAGCACAAAATATCAATCAAGTGTATTGATAAGCATCACGGCACCCCTTTCAAACAGAAGAGTGAAAAATTCCGACCTGCGTTTATTACAGAAATGACAGCCCGTCGGCCTGAGGGTGTCAAATTGCTACGATTACGGAAAAAAACTCCGGTCCGAGACCATATAGCTAGCCAACTGTACACATACCGACCCATGGACTTAAATACATGTACATCTTCACAGCGTCTTGCTCTATTCTGTCGTCAAATATCTAGTACAAAGTCTGCCCATTGTTATAATGTTTCTCTGTGGCTAATGTTGTATAGGGATGCAATTTGTTTTTATCTGTACATGTTTTGTTCTGTACATGTACATTTATATATTTGTTATTGTAATATGTGATAAAGCAAAAAAACAAACCCCGCCCATACGTTTGTTATTAGAATTAAGCAATAGAGTTAATAAATCAATTTAAGAAGTTGGTATTATTCTGGCGGAAAAATGCCCATGACTTTGAGCGACACAAGAAGCCTTTACGCCATCAGCGGCACGAAATGTATGATGGGAATCTTAGATAAACAAACTTGAATCGAAACCCGGAAGTATATGTACAGTAGAATACCGCGAGTAAAATAGTTCGCTCACCTTGTTTCTTGTTGTGGTGATGTCATGCCTGATTTTTGCGGTGTGCAGTAAGCGGTGGACAATGACAACTGTTCCATGAACGTTGTGACACCGCGCCAGTGCCCTGTTGTACAGAGCAGTAGCTCTGGTCAAGTTTCTAGTGTCCCCAGTTTCTGTTCCTCTTTTCAGGTACACGTCACCCAGACTCTTGATCGCTTCTGTTTCTAACATGTCGTTGTCTTTTACTATCGCCTCTACCATCACCTGTGCGTATCCAACCAGCAAAGAGTCTGTATTACCACCGGTAGCCCGTCTCTTGTCCAGATCTTGGAACTTTTCCGCTACCTTTGCAGGCGTAGTCGTCCCCTTGTCCTCTGTTGGCTGTTCGAATTCCTTACCCTGTGACGACAGCCATTGTAAAAGCCTCTCCGTGTAGTGGTATCGGTGTTCTATACCATCTGCCTGTTCTTCATGGTAACACCGCACCATAGCAGCCAGATAAAGCGCCAAGGCCGTGTTGAACTTCCCCACGTCCTTCCCGAGTCTTCCCCTCTCCACGTTCACGTCGCCCAGTGTTTTGAGCAGCTCCACTTCCGCCAGCCTGTCCGTGTCGGCCATGGCGTCCACCAGGGCACGGAGGTAGTCTGTCTCAGCACGGGCTAGTCCGTACCTCCTGCCCTTCTCGTCCAACTCACGGAGCTTCTCACACACCCGCAACATGTCTAACTTCTGCTATTAAACAGATTGTCTGTGAAACTCCCTCTACCTTCACCGCTCTCTGTTTTAGCTTTACAAACAGGTCTGGGCAGGGTTGTTTCGCTTCCGGTATTTGTGGTCACTTCCGGCTTTGGCTCGAAACGGCGGCTACAAACAAAAATGAGCCGGAAAATAATCCGTAGCGAAATAAGGACGATGGGGGATGTTTATAACAGTTGTTACGGGGATGTTGTGTGTAATTTATTACCATGGTTTCACTGCATGCTATGGAAGAGTTCCACGACTCCATACCTTTGCCAAATGATGTTAACCTTTAGTTTATAGCATATGATAACGATATCTTTAAACAAGAGTTCCACGATCTCATACCTTCGCCAAAAGATGTTAACCCTTGCGGGTGACGAATTCTACAATTTTAATAATTGATTTTGTAAATAAGAGCCTCATTTGCATGGATTATATCAGTTGATCATATTCTCCACCCAATGACAGCCTTATCATAACAAAAAGGCTATTATAGCACTTCCTCATAAATTATGCAAATGAGGTCATGATTTGAATAAATTATGTTTATTAATGTTCACCTTCACTTAACCTCCAAATGTGGCAAGTATGAAATTCGGGGTGCAGCAGTTACAACTATGGAATTATAAGAATTTGCCATTAATTATGCAAATTAGGTCCTCATTTACATAATCTATATCCTCAGATGTTTTTCTCGTTCTCAAGTAGATGTCACAACTGTTTCATAGTTCTATTATCGAACAAATCAGATTTATAGAATTTCCTCATTAATTATGCAAATTAGCTCCTGATTTGCATAATTGCCATCTGATTAAGTCAAGCATCACTTCAACTACCTACATACCAAAAATCACGACAATACGTCAACCGGTTCTTGAGTTATCGTCCTTCAAATTTTTTTCTAACAAATGCTCCTGCAGTTCCAGAACAAGGCGCTAGGGGACCCAAACTCATGTCACTTCTTCCCTACCCCAAGAGCTATCTACCAACCAACATTCGTGACCCTAGCATGTCCAGAACATGAGATATCAAAACCGGAAGTTCAGCTGCAGTACCTAGGAAAGCCGCCAGGGGGCCCAAAATCTAATCATTTCTAGGTCTCATGAAGTCCTACCCACCTACCAAGTTTCATTCCAATCCATCCACTGCTTCTCGAGTTATCTTGCTAAACCACACACACACAAACACACCCACACACACACAGACAAACGCTACTGAAAACATAACCTTCTTGGCGAAGGTAAAAATGATGCAAATAAGGTCCTCGTTTGCATATTTTTTTCAGTTCATGATCTTCTCCACCCAAATAGAATTTCCTCATTAATGATGTCAATCAGTTGCTTTGATGTACTGTACGATGCAGGGGTTTATACAGGATCATAAAGAAGAGCGGATTTACACAATTTTCTCATTACTAACTTTGAGGGGGATTATTTTTGGGGGGTTCCTTTTTGTAGATGGGGTATATTTGTGGAGAGATTGAAGGGATTGTTTTTTATTAGTTGGGTGTGATTTAGACGTTTTCTCGGAGGGGGGGGGGTAATTCGGTGTGTGGAGGATTCAATTTTGGAGAGAGGTATTTACCTTCGCCAAGAAGGTCATGATATCAGAGGCGTTCGTGTATGTGTGTGTGTGTGTCTGTGGGTCTGTAAACACGATAACTCGAGAAGGCTTGTCTTCATACTTGGTAGGAAGGTAGGTCTTGATGAGACCTCAAAATTATTAGATTTTGGGCCCCCTGGCAGCTTGTTGTGGTACTGCAGCGGAACTTCCGGTTTTGATATCTCATGATCTGGACGTGCTAGGGGCACGACATTTGAGTGGTAGGTAGCTCCTGTGCTGGGGAAGAAGTGACGTAGGTTTGGCCCCTGGCGGCTTGCTCAGGAACTGCAGAGGCGTTTCTTTTAAGATATTCAAAAGAGGATAACTCAAAACCGGTGAACGGATCGTCGTGGTTTTTGTTATGTAGGTAGCTTAGGTGATGCTTGATATAATTATGTGACAATAAGGCAAATCTGGATGTAATTTGCATAATTTATGAGGAAATTCTATAAATCAGCTGCATTACATTATAGGACTATTCAAGCTTGTGGCATATGTAATTGAGAACGCGGGAAACAAAGGCAGATATTGATTATGTAAATCAACACTTAATTTGTATAATAAGTGAGAAAATGTTATTATTCCATGATGGTAACTGCCTGGAATTTCATACTTGGGGTATTTGAAAGTTAAGTGAAGGTGGACATCATTAAATTAAATATAACTTATTCAAATAAGGAGCCCATTTACATAATTCATGAGGAAATGGTAGAATAGCTTTCTTTGTAAGATAAGGCTGTCTTTTGGTGCAGAATATGATCTGATATGATTCATGCAAATGAGGATCCTATTTGCATAATTAGGAGGAATAATCTTTACTTTGTCCGTAACAAAGTGCTAATCGGTATTATGGGGATAAGCGTATTTTATTTTTATATTTATGTGGTGAATTAATGTCATAGCATGTACATATAGCACCTGTACTATCCTATTCAGCAGAATGAATGAGATTCACTATCTCTCTACATACATAGTGAATCAATGGATAGAATTTTCTACCAAGAGCTATCTCATGTAAAAGTAGCACATATTTTTAAAGACAGTAATTTTCAGTACTAAAAAATGGGATAAATAACCTGACGATTTACATGCACTGTAGAAAAATACATATTCCTAATGCAACTAGACCAACATTCTATCGAAAAATATATCTGTTCTTTTATATCTACCATAACTGAAAAGCTAGGAGAAGTTAAAATTCATCCAGTGATACATAGTTTTGTATTTGTTCATCTGGCTTTGTTGTGACCTGCAGCTGTACTTAGCCCAGTGTGGCAAAAATGTACAATACATGTCATAGTTCAACAAATAATATGCCTTAATGACTCCTATATTTATACACAATTGCCCTTCCTCTTTTCATCGTATTGACCATATGCCACTTGCCAGTGTCACATTTCATTTCGGACATCAGACGTAGAGGGTAAAATGCTGATTTCAAAATATATACCATGTTTGTGGGCTGGCGGCATGGTCAAATTATTAATTCTGCAGACCCTGTTTGATCTTCAAGCAGATGCTTGGCGGCAAAAGCGTTACGGTTAGAACTGGCCATCTAGAGAGTTCTCAACCACTGTCTAGTTCTCAACCGCTGTCTAGATGACCAGTTCTAACCGTAATGCTTTTGACGCCAGACATCTGCTTGGAGATTATCAGACCTTCAGTGGCTATATTCTATAATGTCGTTTTGTCCTCGCGGGCCCATTTTAGACAAAGTTTGTGCGGTCACATTTGCCGTAGTTCGTCGCTCAATTTTGATACTGCATAATTTTCGGGCAAGCTGTGGCACATAAAACTGCAGACAAGGATGTAAGGCGAATCTTTTTATAACGAGACAGCTTTTCAGAAAACGCGCACAATTATCTCAAGAATTACTTCGATTTGCGATCGTACAACAACCATACATCACGTATTTGACCTGCCCTTAGTGACATTAAACACACATTGAGACGTATGCTCTACAGTTTGTCTAACGTTAGTTGTGCTGTAAAACCTGTAAGGATGTTGTAGAGAAGGGAAAACCTTCACTTTTGTTTTACACGCTTTTGCATTTGATCGTTAAGTAAAAGGCAAACGTGTCGTCAAAAATTGTATCAGGCCTCTGGAAGATTACTACTGAAAAAGTTGTTTCACATTCTTGCGTATTATTCGCGAAGTAGAAAGTACTTGAAGAATGACCCCCCCCCATCAGGTTAGTAACCTCTGTGCTTTACCTATGCAGACTTGTGCTCAGTAGTTTAAAAGAAAGCCTTATGTTGCAAAGCTTAGCCCTTGTCTTGTGGAGCACAAAAATTGTTGTTCTGCACATACAGTACCATCTATATAGCACCCTGTATAGGTACGATTTGGGCGTATTTCTCGTGCAACGCATCACACAGCAGCGAAATGCTACGAATACGGATGTAACTATGCCACTGCAGAGAAAACAAGTCAGGGTCTATGATCTAATTAAGACATGTAATTATTGAAAAATGTTGTGCCAGGAATGCCAGCAGGACAAGGGTTTTAAGAAACGTGTTCACTCTGGGTGAAGATACTCTGGAAACACAAGGCCATGTCACAGGAAACAGTGTTATTATAAGATCCATCCATTAAAACTAATCCTTATCTGGAAACCGTATTTTTCACCTATTTCAATTTCCAGCATTTGGTGGGAGGAACATGCACCTTTGCGAAATGGCCACATTTTGTGTACTTGTCTTCCTGACGTTAGGGTAAATATTGCCACCCACCACCCCACAAATATGCAGACCATATATACGTTTAACTTAGAGCATCTCCTGGCGATAATCCACATGTTTCGACATCTACAACTCCTATTCAGAGAACTGGTCACAGAGTTAACTGCCATCACTCACTCACTCACTCACTCACTCACTCACTCAATCACTCACTCACTCACTCACTCACTCACGCAATCTCTCACTCAATCACTCAATCACTCTCTCACCCAATGACTCACTCAATCACTCAATCAATCAATCAATCAATCAATCAATCAATCAATCAATCACTTTCATCTCTTCTCATTCACTCACTCACTCACTCACCCACTCACTTTCATCTCTTCTCATTCACTCACTCACTTACTAACTAACTCACTCACTCAGTGCGTTCAGCTCACTCGGAAGCCAGATATGACTGTTTCTTTTATTCATTGTAACAGCATAGATATGTGGCAATTCGTGATTTTAGATATAGGAGATAACAAAATTGACGAATTGGCTGCAAACTTACAATCAATGCATGAATTTCCACCAATGACTACACACACACACATATATATATATATATAGTCTCCCTACGCAATACATAGTCTTGCAAAGTACATTAATTCCCTTTATTATGTAATAGAAGCTGCCATACAAGCAATTTGTCACCAAGATAGCTATATAATAACATGATATGGCAGATAGATGGGCGATGTGCATTAGAGTCTCCATAGTTAGTTAGTCCTGAGAGACGATTTGGGATAACTAATGACAGCTTTACTCTACTCGCAGATGGCACTTTTACATGATCTAATGTTGTTCATTACTTTTGCAAAGTTGGGATGTGACGTGCCATAGATAACTTTTATCATATTCAAAGTTTGTTCGTAATACCGCAGGGCTTTACTGTGATCACCAAGTCTGTGCCAACATAATCCAATGTTATTTAATGATGAAGCAATGTCAGGATGTGGCGTTGTTTCGCCATAGATAGCTTTCATTATCTTCAGAGATAGCTCGCAATAACTGATAGCCTTTCTCTGATCGCCAAGTTTACTCCAACAGTCCCCAATGTTGTTTAGTGATTTAGCGATGTCGGGATGTGGCGTTGTTTCGCCATAGATAGCTTTCATCATCTTCAACGACTGTTCGTGATACCTGATAGCTTTTCTCTGATCGCCAAGGTCACTCCAACAGGCCCCAATGTTGTTTAGTGATGACGCAATTTCAGGATGTGGCGTTGTTTCGCCATAGATAGCTTTCCACATCTTCAGTGACTGCTCGTAATAACTGATAGCCTTTCTCTGATCACCAATGTTACTCCAACAGGCCCCAATGTTGTTTAGTGATGACGCAATTTCAGGATGTGGCGTTGTTTCGCCATAGATAGCTTTCCACATCTTCAGTGACTGTTCGTGATAACTGATAGCTTTTCTCTTATAACCAAGGGCACGCCAACAGGCCCCAATGTTGTTTAGTGATCCGGCAATGTCGGGATGTGGCGTTGTTTCGCCATAGATAGCTTTCATCATCTGCAGCGACTGTTCATGATAAGAGAGAGATTTCCTCTGATCACCAAGGTCACACCAACAGGTCCCAATGTTGTTTAGTGATTTAGCAATGTCGGGATGTGGCGTTGTTTCGCCATAGATAGCTTTCATCATCTGCAGCGACTGTTCGTGATACCTAAGAGCTTTTCTCTGATCGCCAAGGTTACTCCAACAGTTCCCAATGTTGTTTAGTGATTTAGCAATGTCAGGATGTGGCGTTGATTCGCCATAGATAGTTTTCCTCATTCTCAGTGACTGTTTGTGATAATTGATGGCTTTCCTGTTATCGCCAAGGTAACTCAAACAGGTCCCAATGTTGTTTAGTGATTTAGCAATGTCAGGGTGTGGCGTTGTTTCGCCATAGATAGCTTTCTTCATCTTCAGCGACTGTTCGTGATACCTGATAGCTTTTCTCCGATTGCCAAGGTCACTCCAACAGGACCCAATGTTGTTTAGTGAGTTAGCAATGTCAGGATGTGGCGTTGTTCCGCCATAGATTTCTTTCGTCATCTTCAGAGACTGTAGGTAATAGCCGATAGCTTTCCTCTTATCACCAAGGTTACTCCAACATGCCCCAATGTTGTTAAGTGATGACACAATTTCAGGATGTAGCGTTGTTTCGCCATAGATAGCTTTCCTCATCTTCAGTGACTGTTCATGATAAGAGAGAGCATTCCTCTGATCACCAAGGTTACTCGAACAGGCCCCAATGTTGTTTAGTGATTTAGCAATGTCGGGATGTGGCGTTGTTTCACCAAAGACAGCTTTCCTCATCTTCAGTGACTGTTCGTGATACCTAAGAGCTTTTCTCTGATCACCAAGGTGACCCCAACAGGTCCCAATGTTGTCTAGTGATGACGCAATGTCGGGATGTGGCGTTGGTTTACCAAAGATAGCTTTCATCATCTTCAGTGACTGTTCGTGATAACTGATAGCTTTTCTCTGATCACCAAGGTGACTCCAACATACCGCAATGTTTCCATGTATCAAGGGTAGTACAGAATGTTTTTTGGTGCCTGCATAGTTAGTATTTCTAGCGCAAAGTGACCGTTCGAAGTACCTGATTGCTTTCTCATATTGACCGTGGCTGACTGAGACACTGCCTAATGCAAAAAGTATCTCAAACTGCTTTTCCTCGTCACGACCCGCCTCTTTCAGTGCTGCCTCAAAGTAACGTACAGATGCGTCTAATTGCAACAGCTGTTGTGTTATCCGACCCCTGGTTTGAGATGAGATATCGAATATGGCTGTTGGGAACATCATTTCCGTTGGACTTTCCATTTGAACTGTATTGATAATACATGTTTTTAATGGAATGGCTGTATAGTAGTACCTGAACAACATTTTAGAGTCCGGTATGTGGAAAACTGACTCAACGATGTTGTCATCTACGTCTTGTTTGTCCAGTTGGGTTTTCATCTCCATGAGAGGAGACAGTCTGTCCTTCTGTCCTCCGTTGGCAATGTATGTTCTTAACCGTAGCTCCCCTGAGATGCTGATCAGTACAGTCAAGTGGTGGGCATCTTCGTCACTTATCCGCTGTGTCTTGTGTAACTCTTCTATCATTCCCCACACACTGGGGATTGTGATACCACAGCAAATACTCAACACATCAACGGCCACGCTGGGGAAACGATAGATTTCTTTCTTCACATCCAGAAGTTGGTCCGTTGCTTCAACGTTTTTTATTTGTCCAATATTATCCTTCAGTATTAGCATTGCTGACAACCGTGACAGAACAGGGGAACGGTCTACGCTTTCGTTGACAATGCTTGTATACTCGTCTACCAAAGACTCGTCTCCTGTTAAGTAGGTCACCCGTCTGAGGATATCTGACAGGTGATAGCCTTCCGCCAGGGCAATTCTGATATTCTGATACTTGGCCAACTCGGCAGGAGTCTGGATGAGACTAACGGGATCTTTCGTTTTGGTTCTGTCTCTTCCAAGCGGAGTCTTAGAAGCCCATGGCATGAAGCCGTCGAAGGCGAAGCCACGAGGTGTGACGGAGTCGTAGAACCAGTCTTTCTCTGGGTCTTCTGAGAGAAAGTCGTTGAGTGACGGGATGGCCATGGCTGGGAGGATGGTTTCTCCAAGGTTGATGACTTTTAGATGTAAGTAGTGTGTGAGATTTAGGAAGTACCTCCGTGTATCATCATCATCCTTCCCCTCCTCAATCAGAATGGCGAACTCCAGGTCGGAGTACGGCGTCACCAGTTCTGTGGCCTGTGACCCCATCCCGATGAAAGCGTACTTACAGGGAGGAGGTCCGAGTTTGGCGATGCATTCATCTGTCAGAACTTGGATAAACTCTCGTCTTCCAGCTGTGATGTTCTTGAACAAATTCTTGATTGCTTCAGCTCGTTTGATCTCTACCTCTCTCACGACGGGATCGTCTTCATCATACTGATAAGGGTTGTGTTCCTGATGAACTGCTTCGAGCTGAGATTTTGCACGGGCGCGCAAGTTGTGGAGTTCCTTTATGTGATCTAACGCGCTGCTATACGGACACGGTTCACAGTCTAGGTTACATGTGTTTCTAAGAAACCGCCTTTCTGTCTCTTGCAGTTTTCTTATAATGTTTTGTTTGTCTCCATCTGACCGAGCCATGGAGGCGTTATACAGAGCTGCCGCCTGTGTGAATGTCCTACCTTCTCCTGTCCGCTTACCTCGCTCAACGTAGACGTCACCCAACCTGCACAGACAGTCGGCTTCTTTAGCCTTGTTGGGTTTACTGCGATCTGTGGGTATGAAGTTCGAAAAAGTAGAATTTACCAGACGTGAACAGTTATATTTTTGCCGTTTGATTGGTGTTACTTAAGGATGATGCTTATGTTCAAAGTGGGTAAGGTATACGTAAATGTTCGAATATTCAAGCATTAACTACAAACAATATACTGTATCACAGACCGTGAACCAGCTTCAGGGCGGCTGCTAGGTTCTGCTCTGCTGCGCCCAGGTCTCCATTGTCCAGGTCACGGTCTGCCGTCTGGATGTACCTGCGGTAGGAGCTGAACAACAAAGCAAACGTTGTTGTGAAACAATAGTGCTTCACAAAGGCGACAAAGTGCTGTACAAAATCAGTAGTGTATCAATCATTCTGAAGTACACCTTATATATGATTTAATGACACGTGGAATACATTTCAGGACATATTTCCTCACGTTGGCTGATTGGTCGTTAGCGTTCCTTTTCCAAAACTTGATTTTAACATGTTTAATATTATGCCGTATCATATAGAAAATAGTCAATGCTCCTTAAATATTTCTATTTATTTAGGAGTTACTTTGACTGGAAATAGCACTTGTTACATCAGACAAAGAAACACAGAAACACCAACATGTCGTCGTCAACTTGACTGGTGGTTCCGTCGCTAGAGGGCGCAGCTGAGAAAGGAGAGAAGTGGCCCTTCCGTCCTCTCACGTCTTGTTGTTTTTGCGTACGTGTTGCAATCTGAGAGAACAGATAGAAAGTAGTAACGTTTTCTGTATGATTAACAGGTGGTCAACTAAACTTCAGATAACTTTAACCAAAGGTCAAACGTAACTGACCTTAAATGACCCGTAGAAGGCCACACAAACTGAGACTACGTTGAAATAGACCGTATTCATCATATGGTTCCGGGTCGGAGTTTAAATCTGACCAGAGACTAAGTACTAAGTAAGTGCGCAGTAAATCTACGGAAAAGTGACGTTGTTTCGTATTTTTTGGCCGCAATACCCCCGATATCGTAATATCTGTGTACATATCTTTGTATTTTCTGAAAAGTCTGTTAGTTGTAGACTTTATAGGTGGCGTATTGTTGGTGGTCCAGTGAAGACTTCCTGGTATTAGTCCGCGCGGATGGTTATGTGGCCTTTTCGTATGATCCCCGGGATGGTGCGTTCTATATGCGTTGTGGGTGTGTTTGGGCCACTGGCGAATATAGCGGCGAACGTATCGCATCGATTTTAATTAAATAAAAATTTCGGAAACGTTAGGTACTGAGCTTCCTCGAGTACTAAGCCGTTACCCTGGGATAATTCGTTTTTTTTTTCTAATTCCATGCAGCCATGGTTAAAAATGACGAAAAAAAGGACCCCTTACTTTAAAATGTACCTTTCTAGGCCTTATTCACTCCTAAATAAATTGGGCGCACAAAATATCAATCAAGTGTATTGATAAGCATCACGGCACCCCTTTCAACCAGAAGTGTGGAAAATTCCAACCTGCGTTTATTACAGAAATGACAGCCCGTCGGGCTGAGGGTGTCAAATTGCTACGAATACGGAAAGAAACTCCGGTCCGAGACCATATAGCTAGCCAACTGTACACATACCGACCCATGGACTTAAATACATGTACATCTTCACAGCGTCTTGCTCTATTCTGTCGTCAAATATCTAGTACAAAGTCTGCCCATTGTTATAATGTTTCTCTGTGGCTAATGTTGTATAGGGGGTTGTAATTTGTTTTTATCTGTACATGTTTTGTTCTGTACATGTACATTTATATATTTGTTATTGTAATATGTGATAAAGCAAAAAAACAAACCCCGCCCATACGTTTGTTATTAGAATTAAGCAATAGAGTTTATAAATCAATTTAAGAAGTTGGTATCATTCTAGCGGAAAAATGCACATGACCTTAAGCGACACAAGAAGCCTTTACGCCATCAGCGGCACGAAATGTATGATGGGAATCTTAGATAAACAAACTAGAATCGAAACCCGGAAGTATATGTACACTCGCGATTGCGGACTTATACAGTAGTAAAATAGTTCTCTCACCTTGTTTCTTGTTGTGGTGATGCCATGCCTGATTTTTGCGGTGTGCAGTAAGCGGTGAACAATGACAACTGTTCCATGAACGTTGTGACACCGCGCCAGTGCCCTGTTGTACAGAGCAGTAGCTCTGGTCAAGTTTTTATTGTCCCAAGTTTCTGTTCCTCTTTTCAGGTACACGTCACCAAGACTCTTGATCGCCTCTGTTTCTAACATGCTGTTGTCGTTTACTATCGCCTCTACCATCACCTGTGCGTATCCAACCAGCAAAGAGTCTGTATTACCACCGGTAGCCCGTCTCTTGTCCAGATCTTGGAACTTTGCCGCTACCTTTGCAGGTGTAGTCGTCCCCTTGTCCTCTGTTGGCTGTTCGAATTCCTTACCCTGTGACGACAGCCCTTGTACAAGCCTCTCCGTGTAGTGGTAGCGGTGTTCTATACCATCTGCCTGTTCTTCATGGTAACACCGCACCATAGAAGCCAGATAAAGCGCCAAGGCCGTGTTGAACTTCCCCACGTCCTTCCCGAGTCTTCCCCTCTCCACGTTCACGTCGCCCAGTGTTTTGAGCAGCTCCACTTCCGCCAGCCTGTCCGTGTCGGCCATGGCGTCCACCAGGGCACGGAGGTAGTCTGTCTCCGCACGGTCTAGTCCGTACCTCCTGCCCTTCTCGTCCAACTCACGGAGCTTCTCACACACCCGCAACATGTCTAACTTCTGCTATTAAACAGATTGTCTGTGAAACTCCCTCTACCTTCACCGCTCTCTGTTTTAGCTTTACAAACAGGTCTGGGCAGGGTTGTTTCGCTTCCGGTATTTGTCTTCACTTCCGGCTTTGGCTCGAAACGGCGGCTACAAACAAAAATGAGCCGGAAAATAATCCGTAGTGAGCTAAGGACGATGGGGGCTGTTTATAACAGTTGTTACGGGGATGTTGTGTGTAATTTATTACCATGGTTTCACTGCATGCTATGGAAGAGTTCCACGACTTCATACCTTCGCCAAATGATGTTAACCTTTAGTTTATAGCATATGATAACGATATCTAAAAAAAATGATGCAAATAAGGTCCTCGTTTGCATATTTTTTTTCAGTTCATGATCTTCTCCACCCAAATAGAATTTACACATTAATCATGTCAATCAGTTGCTTTGATGTACGATGCAGGACTTCATACAGGAGAGATTATTTACACAATTTTCTCATTTCTAATTTTGAGGGGGATTTTTTTTTTGAGGGGGTCCTTTCTGCAGATGGGGTATATTTGTAGAGAGATTGAAGGGATTGTTTTTTATTAGTCGGGTGTGATTTAGACGTTTTCTAGGAGAGGGGGGGTATTTCGGTGTGTGGAGGATTTCATTTTGGAGAGGGGTATTTACCTTCGCCAAGAAGGTCATGTTTTCAGAGGCATTCGTGTGTGTGTGTGTGTGTGTGTGTGTGTGTGTGTGTGTGTGTATGTGTGTCTGTGGGTATGTAAAAATTCGAAAAGGCTTGAATGTATTGTCTTCATACTTGGTAGGTAGGTAGGTCTTGATGAGACCTCAAAATGATTAGATTTCGGGCCCCTGACCGCTTGTTGTGGTACTACAGCGGAACTTCCGGTGTTGATATCTCATGATATGGACGTGATAGAGTCATGAAATTTGAGTGGTAGGTAGGTCTTGTCCTGGGAAAGAAGTGACGTAGGTTTGGGCCCCTTAGCGGCTTGCTCCCGAACTGCAGAGCCGTTTCTTTAAAAAATATTCAAAAGAGGATAACTCAAGAACCGGTGGACGGATCGTCATGATTTTTGGTATGTAGGTAGCTCAAGTGACGCTTGACATGATTATGCGACAATTATGCAAATCTGGATGCAATTGGCATAATTTATGAGGAACTTATATAAATCAGCTGCATTACATTATAACTATTCAAGCTTGTGGCAAATGTAATTGAGAACGCGAGAAACAAAGGCAGATATTGATTATGTAAATTAACACTTAATTTGCAGAATTAGTGAGAAAATGATATTATTCCATGATGGTAACTGCCTGGAATGTCATACTTGGCGTATTTGAAAGTTACGTGAAGGTGAACATCATTAAATATAACTTATTCAAATAAGGACCTCATTTTCATAATTCATGAGGAAATGGTAGAATAGCTTTCTTTGTTAAGATAAGGCTGACTTTTGGTGGAGAATATGATCAACTGATATGATTCGTACAAATGAGGATTTTATTTGCATAATCAGGAGGAATAATTTTTACTTTGTCAGTCATTAAGATTAACATCATTTGGCGAAGGTATGAGATCGTGGAACTCTAGTTTGTATGTATTGAAAAGTATTTGCCCGTAAAAAAGTGCTGAAGTATTTTATTTTCTATATTTATGTGGTGAATTAATGGCATAGCACCCCTACTCCCATTCAGCAGAATGAGATTTAATATTTCAGTATATCTACCAATAGCTATCCCATGTAAAAGTAGCACATCTTTTTAAAGACAGTAATTTTCAGTACTAAAAAATGGGATAAATAACCTGAAGATTTACATGCACTGTAGAAAAATACATATTCCTAAAGCAACTAGACAAACATTCCATCGAAAAACCTATCTGTTCTTTTATATCTACCATAACTGAAAAGCTAGGAGAAGTTAAAATTCATCTAGTGATACATAGTTTTGTATTTGTTCATCTTGCTTTGTTGTGACCTGCAGCTGTACTTAGCCCAGTGTGGCAAAAATGTACAATACATGTCATAGTTCAACAAATAATAGGCCTTAATGACTCCTATATTTATACATAATTGCCCTTCCTCTTTTCATCGTATTGACCATATGCCACTTGCCAGTGTCACATTTCATTTCAGAAATGAGACGGAGAGGGTAAAATGCTGATTTCAAAATATATATCATGTTCGTGGGCTGGCGGCATGGTCAAATTCTTAATTCTGCAGACTCTGTTTGATCTTCAAGCAGATGTTTGGCGTCAAAAGCGTTACGGTTAGAACTGGCCATCTCAACCACTGTCTAGTTCTCAACCGCTGTCTAGATGACCAGTTCTAACCGTAATTCTTTTGACGCCAGACATCTGCTTGGAGATTATTACACCTTCAGTGGCTGTATTCTATTGTCGTTTTGTCCTTGCGAGCCCATTTTAGACAAAGTTTGTGCGGTCACATTTGCCGTAGTTCGTCGCCCAATTTCGATACTACAGAATTTTCAGGCAAGCTGTGGCAGATCAAACTGCAGACAAGGATGTAATGCGAATCTTTTCATAACGAGACAGCCTTTCAGAAAACGGGCACAATTATCTCAAGAATTACTTCGATTTGCGATCGCACAACAACCATACATCACGTATTTGCATTTTTTACCTGCCCTTAGTGACATTAAACACACATTGCGACGTATATATGCTCTACAGTTTGTCTAACGTTGTACTGTAAAATCTGTAAGGATGTTGTAAAGAAGGGAAAACCTTCACTTCGGTTTTACACGCTTTTGCATTTGATCGTGAAGTAAAAGGCAAACGTGACGTCAAAAATTGTATCAGGCCTCTGGAAGATTACTATTGATAAAGTTGTCTCACATTCTTGCGTATTATTCACGAAGTAGAAAGTACTTGAAGAATGACCCCCCATCAGGTTAGTAACCTCTGTGCTTTACCTTTGCAGACTTGTGCTCAGTAGTTTAAAAGAAAGCCTTATGTTGCTTAGCTTAGCCCTTGTCTTGAGAAGCACAACAATTGTTATTCTGCACATACAGTACCATCTATATAGCACTCTGTATAGGTACGATTTGGGGGTATTTCTCGTGCAACGCATCACACCGCAGCGAAACGCAACGAATGCGGAAGTAACTATGCCACTGCAGAGCAAAAAAAATCAGGGTCTATGATCTAATTAAGACATGTAATTATTGAAAAATGTTGTGCCAGGAATGCCAGCAGGACAAGGATTTTAAGAAACGTGTTCACTCTGGGTAGACTCGAGGCACATCGTGCAAGAGGACTAAGTGAGTGAGTGAGTGAGTGTTCACTCTGGGTGAAGATACTCCGGAAACACAGGCCATGTCACAGGAAACAGTGTTATTATTATAAGATCCATCCATTGAAATAATCCTTATCTGGAAACCGTATTTTTCACCTATTTCAATTTCCAGCATTTGATGGGAGGAACATGCACCTTTACAAAATGGCCACATTTTGTGTACCTGCCTTCCTGAAGTTAGGGTAAATGTTGTCGACAAACCACCCACCACCCCACAAACATGCTGACTATTATACATTTAACTTAGAGTAGTTTATTTACTACCATCTTTCTGACGATAATCCACGATAATCTTTGGACATCTACAACTCCTATTCAGAGAATGTATTTATTTATTTATTACAATTGACCACATACATAATATACATGGAGGGCATGGTGGAACAGGTGCACCTAAGTGCACTTTTTCAAGGCCACCATGCCGACAAATAAATAGACAATGTGCATTAAAAAATACAAAATACAAAACAGTGATACTATATATAATTGGTCACCGAGTTAACTGCCATCACTCACTCACTCACTCATTCACTCACCCACTAACTCACTCACTCAATCACTCAATCAATCACACTCAATCACTCACTCACCCACTAACTCACTCAATCAATCACTCAATCACTCACTCAATCACTCACACTCACCCACTCACTCATTCACGCAATCACTCACTCACTCACCCACTCACCCACTCACTCACTCACTCAATCAATCACTCACTCACTCACTCAATTAATCACTCACTCACTCAATCACTCACTCACACTCATTTTCATCTCTTCTCATTCACTCATGCACTCACTGCGTTCAGCTCACTCGGAAGCCAAATATGACTGTTTCCTTTATTCATTGTAACAGCACAGATATGGGACAATTCGTGATTTTAGATGTAGGAGATAAACAAAATTGACGAATTGGCTGCAAACTTACAATTAATGCAAGAAATCCCACCAATGACTACACGTACATGTATATAGTCTCCCTACGCAATACATAGTCTTGCAAAGTACATTAATTCCCCTTATTATGTAATAGAAGCTGCCATACAAGCAATTTGTGACCAAGATAGCTATGTAATGACATGATATGGCAGATAGATTGGCGATGTGCAGTAGTGTCTCCATAGTTAGCTAGTCCTGAGAGACGATTTGGGATAACTAATGACAGCTTTACTCTACTCGCAGATGGCACTTTTACATAATCTAATGTTGTTCATTACTTTTGCAAAGTTCGGATGTGACGTGCCATAGATATAACTATTATCATATTCAAAGTTTGTTCGTAATACCGCAGGGCTTTCCTGTGATCACCAAGTCTGTGCCAACATAATCCAATGTTTTTTAATGATAAAGCAATGTCTTGATGTGGCGTTGTGTCGCCATAGATAGCTTTCATCATCTTCAGTGACTGTTCGCAATAACTGATAGCCTTCCTCTGATCGCCAAGGTCACTCCAACAGTTCCCAATGTTGTTTGGTGATGACGCAATAGTGGAATGTGGCGTTGTTTCGCCAAAGATAGCTTTTCTCATCTTGAGCGACTGTTCGTGATAACTGATAGCTTTTCTCTGATCACCAAGGTCATTCCAACAGGCCCCAATGTTGTTTAGTGATCCAGCAATGTCAGGATGTGGCGTTGTTTCGCCATAGATAGCTTTCTTCATCTTCAGCGACTGTTCGTAATACCTGACAGCTTTTCTCTGATCGCCAAGGTCACTCCAGCATGTCCCAATGTTGTTTAGTGATCCAGCAATGTCAGGATGTGGCGTTGTTTCACCATAGATAGCTTTCTTCATCTTCAGCGACTGTTCGTGATACCTGATAGCTTTTCTCCGATCACCAAGGTCAAGCCAACAGGCCCCAATGTTGTTTAGTGAATCAGCAATATCGGGATGTGGCGTTGTTTCGCCATAGATAGCTTTTCTCATCTTCAGTGACTGTTCGTGATAACTGATAGCTTTCCTCTGATCACCAAGGTCACGCCAACAGTTCCCAATGTTGTTTAGTGATGACGCAATGTCGGGATGTGGCGTTGTTTCGCCATAAATAGCTTTCCTCATTCTCAGTGACTGTTCGTGATAACTGATAGCTTTCCTTTGATCACCAAGGTGACTCCAACATACCGCAATGTTTCCATGTATCGAGGGAAATGCAGGATGCATTTTGGTGCCTGCATTGTTAGTATTTCCAGCGCCAAGTGCCCGTTTGTAGTAGCTGATTGCTTTCTCATAGTCAACGTGGCTGACTGAGACACTGCCTAATGCAAAAAGTATCTCAAACTGCTTTTCCTCGTCACGACCCGCCTCTTTCAGTGCTGCCTCAAAGTAACGTACGGATGCGTCTAATTGCAACAGCTGTTGTGTTATCCGACCTCTGGTTTGAGATGAGATATCAAATATGGCTGTTGGGAACATCATTTCCGTTGGGTTTTCCTTTTGAACTGTATCGACGATACATCTTTTTAATGGAATGGCTGTATAGTAGTACCTGAACAACATTTTAGAGTCCGGTATGTGGAAAACTGACTCAACGACGGTGTCATCTACGTCTTGTTTGTCCAGTTGGGTTTTCATCTCCATGAGAGGAGACAGTCTGTCCTTCTGTCCTCCGTTGGCAATGTATGTTCTTAACCGTAGCTCCGCTGAGATGCTGATCAGTACAGTCAAGTGGTGGGCATCTTCGTCACTTATCCGCTGTGTCTTGTGTAACTCTTCTATCATTCCCCACGCACTGGGGATCGTGATACCACAGCAAATACTCAACACATCAACGGCCACGCTGGGAAAACGGTAGATTTCTTTCTTCACATCCAGAAGTTGGTCCGTTGGTTCAACATTTTTTATTTCCCGAATGATAACATTCAGTATTAGCATTGCTGACAACCGTGACAGAACAGGGGAATGGTCTACGCTTTTGTTGACAATGCTTGTATACTCGTCTACCAAAGACTCGTCTCCTGTTAAGTAGGTCACCCTTCTGAGGATGTCTGACAGGTGATAGCCTTCCGCCAGGGCAATTCTGATATTCTGATACTTGGCCAACTGAGCAGGAGTCTGGATGAGACTAACGGGATCTTTCGTTTTGGTCCTGTCTCTTCCAAACGGAGTCTTAGAAGCCCAAGGCATGAAGCCGTCGAAGGCGAAGCCACGAGGTGTGACGGAGTCGTAGAACCAGTCTTTTTCTGGGTCTTCTGAGAGAAAGTCGTTGAGTGACGGGATGGCCATGGCTGGGAGGATGGTTTCTCCAAGGTTGATGACTTTTAGATGTAAGTAGTGTGTGAGATTTATGAAGTACATCCGTGTATCATCATCACCCTCCCCCTCCTCAATCAGAATGGCGAACTCCAGGTCGGAGTACGGCGTCACCAGTTCTGTGGCCTGTGACCCCATCCCGATGAAAGCGTACTTACAGGGAGGAGGTCCGAGTTTGGCGATGCATTCATCTGTCAGTGTTTGGATAAACTCTCGTCTTCCAGCTGTGATGCTCTTGAACAAATTCTTGATTGCTTCAGCTCGTTTGATCTCTACCTCTCTCACGACGGGGTCGTCTTCATCATACTGATAAGGGTTGTGTTCCTGATGAACCGTTTCGAGCTGAGATTTTGCACGGGCGCGCGAGTTGTCAAGTTCCTTTATGTGATCTAACGCGCTGTTATACGGACACGGTTCACAGTGTAGGTTACATGTGTTTCTAAGAAACCGCCTTTCTGTTTCTTGCAGTTTTCGTACCATGTTTTGTTTGTCTCCATCTGACCGAGCCATGGAGGCGTTATACAGAGCTGCCGCCTGTGTGAATGTCCTATCTTCTCCTGTCCGCTTACCTCGCTCAACGTAGACGTCACCCAACCTGCACAGACAGTCGGCTTCTTTAGCCTTGTTGGGTTTACTGCGATCTGTGGGTATGAAGTTCGAAAAAGTAGAATTTACCAGACGGGATTTATATTTTTTTCCGTTTGATTGGTGTTACTTAAGGATGATGCTTATGGTCAAAGTGGGCAAGGTATACTTAAATGTTCAAATATTCAAGCATTAACTACAAACAATATACTGTATCACAGACCGTGAACCAGCTTCAGGGCGGCTGCTAGGTTCTGCTCTGCTGCGCCCAGGTCTCCATTGTCCAAGTCACGGTCTGCCGTCTGGAGGTACCTGCGGTAGGATCTGAACAACGAAACAAACGTTGTTGTGATTATTCAGTAGTATTGTCACATGAATCTACAACCTATACTACTGCTACACACAGTAGCAATATTTATTGACACGTGAATATATTTCAGGCCATATTTCCTAACGTTGGCTAATTCATCGTTAGCATTCCTTTACCAAGACATAATTTTTACCAGGTTTGTTATTTTTTCTTCACACTTCTATACAAAACAGTCATTGGCCCTATGGTTTTATTAAAATCTAAAAGTTACTTGGACTGGACATTTGGTACATTAGACAAGAAGACATACGAGAGAAACACTAACATGTCATTGTCAACTTGACTGGTGGTTCCGTCGCTAGAGGGCGCAGCTGAGAAGGGAGAGAAGTGGCCCTTCCGTCCTCTTACGTCTTGTTGTTTTTGCGTACGTGATGACCTCTACAAAGATGATAGGCAGTATAAAGTATATGATTAACAGGTGGTCGTGCAATCCACAAAAGAACTTATGCCACTATTAATATTCAAAGGTAAACGACCTGACATGACCCGTTGATAGTGGACGGAAACTATATACTGTCATCGTGCAGGAGTATTTGGAGGAAAATATGATTTTTAAGGGGTACAAAATAGTGTGGATTAAATAAATCGATATAACAAGTTGGTATCATTCCAGAGGAAAAGACTATCGACCAAGCTTAAGAGACTAGAAACCTTTTCGAAATGAATGATGAGACTTATCAAGATAAACAAACCACGTCATGCCGTCATGCTCAACTCAAAATGGTTCGCTCACCTTGTTTTTGGTTTTGGTGATGTTATGCCTTATTTTTGCGGTGTGCAGTAAGCGGTGAACAATGACAACTGTTCCATGAACGTTGTGACACCGCGCCAGTGCCCTATTGTACAGAGCAGTAGCTCTGGTCACGTTTCAAGTGTCTCCAGTTTCTGTTCCTCTTTTCAGGTACACGTCACCAAGACTCTTGATAGCTTCTGTTTCTAACATGCTGTTGTCGTTTACTATCGCCTCTACCATCACCTGTGCGTATCCAACCAGCAAAGAGTCTGTATTACCACCGGTAGCCCGTCTCTTGTCCAGATCTTGGAAATTTTCCGCTACCCTTGAAGGTGTAGTTGTCACCTTGTCCTCTGTTGGCTGTTCCTTACCCTGTGACGACACCCCTTGTAAAAGCCTCTCCGTGTAGTGGTAGCGGTGTTCTATACCATCTGCCTGTTCCCGATGGTCACACCGCACCATAGCAGCCTGATAAAGCGCCAAGGCTGTGTTGAACTTCCCCACGTCCTTCCCGAGTCTTCCCTTCTCCACGTTCACGTCGCCCAGTGTTTTGAGCAGCTCCACTTCTGCCAGCCTGTCCGTGTCGGCCATGGCGTCCACCAAGGCACGGAGGTAGTCTGTCTCCGCACGGTCTAGTCCGTACCTCCTGCCCTTCTCGTCCGCCTCACGGAGCTTCTCACACACCCGCAACATGTCAAATTTCTGCTAAGAAAACGTCTGTGAAAGTCTTTACCTTCCTGTTCTCTGTATTAGCTTTTGTACTTGCTGAGCTCTCCTAATTATCTTTGTGCACGTGACTAAACAAACAGGTCCGGCCAGTTTTGTGTCGCTGTCGTCACTCCCGGGCACTGTCATCGTCAGTATTTAAATCGATGACCTACATGTACTAACAAGAATTTAGCTAAAGAAGATCAAGTGGTAGCGAACTAAGGGTGGATGGTTTTTCTTGGGGGGGGGGTATCTTCTTTGTGGGTTTGGGGTCTTTTGGGAGCAGCATTTTTTTTTATTATTCGCCGTGTGCTTGGGGGAGTATTAGGAAGATATTGGGTGTTTCATTTTTGGGATCATATATAAATGGTTAATTGGCCAAACATCACCCGTGCAATTGCAGCCTTATAGTGCTGAATTGATGCAGGGTTTACAATTAGATGATACAAATGGCAATAATACACATAATAATACACATGATACATATTTGTTCCACATTTTTTGTGGAACTGCCACAAGGGTCTGTGCGGCTGCCATTCGGCGCCACAAGGTGACCTCAATACGGCTTTCCCTAACCGAAGTTGGGTACCCATTCACACCTGGGTGGAGTGAGGGAAGTCGTGTGAAGTGCCTTTCCCAAGGACACAACGTCGGGCGCATGTCCAGACATGTCCAGGGTACAACTGGGGATCGAAATCGTGTCTCACGGTCCACAGATCTACCACTACGCCACCTGACGCCACTATGCTATTGGGCATCATATATGCGGATATCTTGGGGCTATGGGTGGTATTGGGAGGTTTATTTGGTGGCGGCGGAGGAGGGTGTATAATCGAGAGACAGATTGGGGGGTGGCATCAAATTACATCAATCCTCACTTGGCCTGATTTTGTGACTAAAAGGTTGTCACTATGTTAACAATGTAGACAAGATGAACGGCATGTCCTCAGTCATCCCTGCAGGCACTTGCCTGTAAAAAACAACAACTCAAGTGGCGACAAAAAGTATTTTAAAAAATATATACCATGTTCGTGGGCTGGCGGCATGGTCAAATTCTTAATTCTGCAGACCCTGCCTACAAATGTGCGTTACGGTTAAAACTGGCCATCTAGAGAGTTCTCAACCGCCCAGACACTGTCTAGATGACCAGTTCTAACCGTAGCGCTTTTGTCGCCAAACATCTGCTTGAACATCAAACAGGGTCTGCAGCGTGTGTGTGTTTGTGTTTCTTCACATTTGTAGGCAGCTTAACTTCAGAACGCCATTATGGATTTAGGAAGCCAAAGGTCAAGGTCAAATATGGGCCTCCTGGTGGCTGACCTTGGTACTGCAGCAGAACGGGAAAACGGATGTGCGGGGTGGCGGGGAAAGGCAGGGAAAACAGATGTGCGGGGTGGAGGCAGCGCCTGCCCGGTTTGATTAATGAGGTTCTCCTTCTGGAATAACCTACATGACCATATTCAGGCCAAAGGTGCTACTGTGTGTTTCAAAACAAAAACCTGTGTTATTTTGTTCTGTACTGTTGTGTACTGTGGAAAAACATTTAGAAAAACTCGTATATTTCATGGAGGTATGAGATCTCCGAATTCTTGTTTCCTTTTGAAACTACCCTGTACACGCTATGAGAGCTGAATGATGTTTATCTCTTTCTTGTAGACGTTGGACAGTTTGACCTCACGCCCCGCCCCGCGGTGACTGTGACTGAAGGGAGGGGATTCAAACTTGAGTGTGGAGGTCCTGACGGTTTTCCTGGTAAGCATTTACACTGCTACCGGTGTATATAAGGGTATGAATTTATATATAATAAGTAGAAAGGTAACATTTGCACAACGCAATGTTTACTTTCGCATGATCTAGTTGCCACACGGTCAAACTACTGCTCTGTTTATTTTTTCACAAATACATCCATACGTAGTAGTTGGCGAACAGCCCCTACTACGCTGTCCTGCCACATAATGTAACCCAGAACCACAGGGTGTCTGCTACAGCACCAGTTACCATGGTGACAGACCACATGGTCCTGGTCAATGACTTAAGTTGTTCAGTCCGCTCCCAACGTCTTACCCGCGGGGTGATATGATGATTTAACAGCGACGTTTTTATCCCACTTGTAGTAATAACGTAAATATTGTTTTCTTCGTAGCCCTCTTCTACGGCTGGTACAAGGGACATGTTGCCAACAGGATCATTCCAAACGAACGGAGGTACATCTCCCACCAAAATGGAGACCTGTACTTCAAATATGCCGTAGTCAATGATGCTGGGGAGTACAGGTTAGGAATTTTCAAGGCCCAACTTGCTTTCCTATAGTAGTTGTATTGATTCATCAACATGCAAATCTTTGTGTTTTCAACTTTTGGGTAAAAATGAGCAGGTAAAGGTACGAGATAGCCTTTTTTTGAGGCAGTAGCCCACTGTGTCTAGGGTATGGTATTGTAAGGTGAAGCCCATCCTTCTCCTTCTACAGAACCTGTTCCATTTGTCCCTTATTATAACATTATAGCTACATGTTCGATGACTTTTAAAACGACGACAAAAGGTAAGATGCAACTCATTATCATTGTTTATTAGTTCAGTACATAAAATATCCCGTTCATCACATACTAGTCAACCAAAATGGTCTTATTGCTGTTTGCTGAGACTGACGGCTTTATCCGCCAAAAAGCAGTTACTCAAGCAACTGGATATGATTTTGGAAAGGTCAAACGTCAGTGACTGAGAGACCAGAGGGGAAACGCAGGTTTATAAGCACTAACTATTGATTGATATGCAAATAAAGTGAAGATAATGTCTGACTTTTGTTCCTTTTTCGACTTCCAAAAAATGTCTCCACTTTATTTGCATATCAATCAATAGTTAGTGCTTATAAACCTGCATTTCCCCTCTGGTCTCTCAGTCACTGACGAAAGCTAGTGGATACTAGCTGAAACGTCTGACGTTTCCAAAATCATATCCAGTTGCTTGAGTAACTGTTTTTTGGCGTATCGTATAACCTGGATGCCTAACCTTCATCGACGTATGACGGCTTTATCATATGTCATTTTTCCGTCCTACGTAGGTGCTTTGTTCAGAATCAACAGGAAACAGACTTTGCCGGGGATTTGACGAACAGATCCAGTCCTGTCATCGCCTTGACTGTGAATCGGGACCTCAACCCACGTAAGTGTTAAATTAACTCATCCTTGAAATTTTACCTTACAGCAGCCGTATGGAACATTGATTGATTGAATGATTGATTGATTGACAGATACCTTACATATATACCTTCCCTGCTTTCAAATTCACTGTGTGGATCTTTAATTGTTAAGTTTCAAATGTGACAAGTCATTGTTTATCACCCTTAGTAAGGATGGCTTTGTCGTTTCGGTCGCCATCTTGAATCTGTATACGCGCCACACATACATACCACATGTGACTTTTAACCTCTAAATATCAACTGATTGCCACGTTAGGCTGTGAAAATTGTGATCAAGTTAAAGTGACAACATAACGGTCAGAAGTACATCAAGAGGGTAAGTTTTCTTTTTCCGTGCCGTTTTTAATTTCAAGTAATGAATTCTTCTCTTTCTAGCTATCGTGGAGAGAGAACCTGTCATTATGCTCGCACCGAAAGATGTTAGTGTCATCGAAGGGTACCTGAGTGCGGAACTGGAGTGTTTTGACGATGCATAGTGAGTACAGCAATATCTCTGTTTGACCAACATAGAAGTTCTTTTATGCGGGTCTATCAGCTACCTGCAGTAGCGTAGGTGCAATGTGCATTCTTGTGAATTGTGTCCTAAGTATATAAATGACACAAGGTTACTATGATTGCCTTCGCAGAAGGAAGACATGTTGTTTTTGCTCGGTTTCTTTTTCTTCTTCTTCCGTTCCTAACAAATAAAGTAACATGACATGGACCAGACGTCTGTCACCATGGTAACTGGAGCTGTAGCAAATACCATATGGTGTTGGTTATACTATGTAGCAGAACAGAGTTGGAGAGCCTGCTCACCATACATATTAATGAATTTGGGTTAGAATAAGCAGAGCAGTAGTGTGTTAGGCTAGACCAGGTGAAGGTTTGTTTGTTTGCATGTAATCAAAGAAATAAAATGAACATAACATAGCATAATAAAAGAGATATGCAGGGGAAGATAAAAATCGTTATGGCCTGTCCGCGATCTTTCTCCCCAAAACATAAATTGTATGATACATTAAACATTATACATTATAATGGAAATCAATAAATGGTATAAATGATGTTAACAACATAGAATAATGATTATTATTAGATAAGAATAAATAATTATTGAGTAACGCAATGTGACATATGATGGAAAATATTATTTAAAAGGTAAACATTATTTATCTGTTACCTTTCTAATTTCTGTCGTAATTTCAGCCCTGAATCTAACATCCGGTGGAAGAAGTTGGACAAGCCAGCAAGGGAAGGTGGCGTAGAAATACCATTGCCGTCCAAAGCCCGGTTCAACTATCACTCCCACGCTCTCATCATACCGTTAATAAGCAAAGAGGACGGCGGAATCTTCCAGTGTACCGCCAGTAACAGGAAGGGATCAGTCTCGCACGAGGCAAGAATCAAAGTTAAAGGTAAAATATGACAAGCAAACTTAAAATGTTAGTTAAATCTAATGTCAGGGCCGAACTATTAGGCCACACCAAGTAAATTTTATGGATGACGTCCTTTGGAGACCCTAAATCTAATGCGAGAGGGCGAAAAAAAAACAAGAAGGGCCCTAAAAAACAAGATGCCTAGATTAGAAATATACTAAGAGACGACAAATGTTAGGACACAAATTGAATGAGGTGACACAGTGTAACCAGCAAGAAGTCTTTTATTCATCATCAAAACAGCAATAAATCAGGTGGAACAGTGTACAGTGAAAAAATTTCTGTTATTGACAGGATGGTCCTGTCAATAGTGCAAATTTTCTGTTATTGATATACCCTTTCAATATATATCAATAGACACTTTCTTCGCGTTACGGGTTTCACATCAATCTGGTGATTTGCGGCACTGTCGTGACTCTTTGGTCATAGTTACAGGAAGCGGAATTTCTTGTGCTTTTTTTCTAGGAACAGGCCAAAATCAATGCGCGCGCGGACGTCATCCATAAAATTTACTTGGTGTGGCCTTATTAGAATAGATAAAACTCTGTCTCTATCAAGGAAATGAGCACCCCACGTCACCTCTGTAAGTTCACGTTATGCAGATATAACACATGTGACTTGGTGAGCAGTGGATCATACGTTACAGGAAGTTTGTGGCGCCCCCGTCTTTGTTGAGACGCTTGTATGTCAAAGCCTTATTTTCAAGACATCCAAAAGGTGCATGCCCTCTTACAGCAATGCAGATGGGATCTTTCATGTACCTTAGTGAAGAGAAGATTCATCATGCATATATCAATAGGCCTACAAGTATCTGATAATGAAATGAATTTGAAATACCTTTCTTGTACATTCATGCCACGACGGGCTAGGTGCAGCTTAAGACTTAACAGACACATAACAAACGTATGTAGAAAAGAGTAGACCAAAGATACACCACTTGACTTAGACATACATAAGGACATACAAGGATACTATACTAGGCTAATACAAAGTGTTCTAGTCACTGAGCTAATGCAGAGTGGTCAACTTCTCGCTTTTTTTGTACAATGGAAAATGTGGGAACAGATCATGTTAGTAATACAGGGTTTGTCTAGACGCATCAAAAATATAAATTTGTCGTTTGCATTTAGGTGTATGGGAACTTCTCTTTGATATGATTAAAAGGACAGATCTTTCATTAGAATATGAAGTACAGTCTAAAATAAAGTGTTGTTTATCTTCTATTCTATTCATGTTACAGTATTGACAGAGTCTATTCTGGAGGGGAATGCGGTTGTGCCTTCCCGTTTCTATGAATAAAAACGACTGTACATCCAATAGAATAGATAAATAGATATATAGTAAGAAAGTGTGTATTCCTTTGTAATCCGCAGCCGTACCGAGTCCTAGAATACCGAAGCACAACAAGCCACTCGTCATCGGCGGCAGTGTGACAATGTCGTGCGAGGCAGATGGAAGCGAACCTCTGCAGTACAGTTGGTACTTCGGAAGGGACAAGATAGTGACTGATAACATCAAATACGTCGTATCCACGGACAAGCTTACTGTCAAGAACATGGACCTGGGAGACAAAGGGGGGTAAGTTTGTGTTCTGTCTTGTCTTGGCTAAAATTCTCGTTAAAAAAGTGTATGCAGTTGATACCACATTTGACATCGTTTAGAAAATATCAGTACTGCAGAGCAAACGTTGGTGTAAAAAGTGCATAGTAATGAAATAGACCATTACATTGTCATTGGTGTAAGAAGTCTGTCTGTTTTTTATCTCTACTCTAACTTTGAAACAAGAAGTTGGATTTTTTTTGTATCTGTTGACTCTATCTGTGCAACTTGTTTTGTTGTGACCTGTACTTAGCCAGTGTGGCAAATTGTGCACTGAAAGTCGTCATTCATTCATTGATGTAAGACTACTAAAACATTACCCAACACATCTGGAGAGACGGTCCATGTACTTATGTCATGTCCAGACACATTTTCTGTATATATAGATCAATACATTTATAATGCCATGCAAAAAAGACATCTTAGTATAGCTGTATAAGTAGAGTCACTGAATTTTTATCAACTACATGTATATAGTATAGCGTTTCGTAGCATCTGTATGTAGAATCTTAACATTCCTGGCAAGTAACTTAGTATACACTCTGTTTAGTAGCCATAGAACATGTTTAGTATAATTAGGTTCAACTGCTCACTTTACCCATCATGTGTATAGTTTAGCGTAATGTAGAATGTACATGTAGAGTCGAAATATTCTCTAGCCATTAGTTCTTTATAACACTCTGCCAGATACAATGTCCGTTGACCATATATATAGCATTATGTTAGACACATACCAACTAGTAATTTTATTATTTGCCATACATTGTACCCGTGACAATCGTTGTGCAATAAACTTTGACTTGACTTGATAACTTAATATGCTAACGACTGCATTTCTGTACTTGCAGTTACCGGTGCATCGTCACAAACAGACAAGGTTCGGGTACCACCTCAGTTTCGCTAAAATCGAAAGGTACGAAGATTTTTTTCAAGGACTTGCATTGCTAAAGGGACGCTTTTTCAGCAGTTTGCTTTGTTTATTTTGCATTATTGGAGTTCAGATCTGGAACCAACTCCCAGACACCATTGTGGGTAAAATCAACAACAATGGCCTGCAGTCTTTCAAAGTTAGAGTCCATCGACACCTCCTTCATTGCAATTGAGAACTTGGCAGCTGTGAGCTACTGATTACCCACTAAACTCTATTCTTACCATGTGTATGTACAATCAGTGGGTATTGCTCACAACAGCACATTATATATAAAATAAAATCTCGTTCGTATGGCCTACATTTGTTAAGCCCCTGTCACACATAACTTAATATGGCCTCCAGAACACTGGCCGAACTCCCCCAACCATCGTTAGGAGTAGGTCGGAAGCAAGGTCGGCAGTGTCGGCTAAAGGTAGGAGTGGCCTAAATCTGGTCAGTCTGCTTCCAAACGTCAGCCAAGCTTGCAATTGGTGGGTTGGTTTTCGGGGACGCGATTCTGAATGTGTGGCAAGGGCTTTCCATAACATATTTATATGTTTTAACACATGACGAAATGGTTTTAATATGTGCAGGTCCAACGTAAGGCATTTAAAGTGTATTGATACAGTATTAATATTATAAATTAAATGGAAATATTCTCTCTTTGTAATGCCATACTATAATTCAGCCAAAAAGCTGCCACTGTATGGTTGTTTTGAGTCGTCACAATAAACCATTGATTTCTTTAATTTTATTTTATAATGGCGTTATTCATTGTGTCTTTTAGTGTGCACATTCAACGTAATATGGTAAAACTTTCAGAATCATGACCTGAAACACTTTCCTTATTATTCCTACCTCTCCCGTCTGCAGGACCAAACATTGTGATCCCGATCAGCCAACAGAACGGCATGGAAGGATCCAGTATCACCATGACAGTAAGGTGGGAGGGGCTGCCCACCCCTACTATGGAATGGATCAAGCAGGGTGAAGTGATCGCGAGTAGGACACCAGAAGGAGTTGTCCAAACAACTAGTCCAAGGTAAGTTTTCCTATGTATGTATATTGGCCTGATTGTGTTTTCTTCGCACAAGGAAAACACATGTATCTGCTTAGTTTCGTCTCCCTATTCTTCTTTCGTTCCGAACAAATGATGTCAATGACCTGGACCAGACGTCTGTCACCATGGTAACCGATTCTGTAACAGACACCCTGCGGTGTTGGGTTACATTGTGTAGAAGAGCAGAGCTGGAACGGCTGCTCACCATACATATATGAATGTGTTTGTTAGTTTAGATCATGTGAAGGTAACATCTGTGTCTATAATATCACCAGAGTCCATAATATCACCACCTTGAAACAGTGTGCTTAAAGATATTTTTACTGCAACATACTTTTGGTATGCACTCCTTCACACATCAAATGTACTACCTAGGGTATGTTGCAGTAAAAATATCTTTAAGCACACTATTTCTCAAGACGGCGACATTATGGACCCTGGTGATATTATGGACACAGACGTTAAACATCATTAATTTCCTTTGCAAAAGTTACCTGTATCTGTTGAGAAACAGTTTATTAGAAACCAACCTAAAAGAACAATGTTATTTATCAAATGAACCTACTGTTGTTATTATTTCTTAAACAGGTATACCGTGACAAAAGAAGGATATCTGACCATCACTAACCTGGTTCCAGAAGACGGAGGAAGTTACAGCTTCAGAATCCAAAACGTCCTGGGCAGTAGAGACACAGCTGGGAGACTATACGTAGCAAGTATGTTTAAACTTTCACAGAAGAATGAATGAATAAATGAATGAATGAATGAATGAATGAATGAATGAATGAATGAATGAATGAATGAATGAATGGTTTATTTTATCTAAAACTTCGCAGCCTTTTGACCACTTACATCAGTTTAATAATACATGCAACTGAATTCCACATAAAAGTAAAATTTTATGTAGTAACACAATTCCACAAACTTCGGAGCGTGGTTGATTTGAGCAGTCGATTTATATTATATTTGCAACATTTATCCTTGTTTAAAAGTGTTAACTTGATGGTACTGACCTAAAATAAAAAAGTCGGTGTTAGATGCTTGACACAATTTTGATGATATTTTCCTAAGGCCACACCAAGTAAATTTTATGGATGACGTCCGCGCGCGCATTGATTTTGGCCTGTTCCTAGAAAAAAACAACAAGAAATTCCGCTTTCTGTAACTATGACCAAAGAGTCACGGTAGTGCCGCAAATCGTCAGATTGACGTGAAACCCGTAACGCGAAAACAGGACAGGACGACAACTGCTGTTCCACCTGATTCATTACTGTTTTGATGATGAATAAAAGACTTCTTGCTTGTTACACTGTGTCACCTCATTCAATTTGTGTCTTAACATTTGTCGTCTCTTAGTATATTTCTGATCTAGGCCTGTTGTTTTTTAGGGCCCTTCTTGTTTTTCTTTCGCCCTCTCGCATTGGATTTAGGGTCTCCAAAGCACGTCATCCATAAAATTTACTTGATGTGGCCTAATACTAGAATGCTTGAACTCGTATATTTTTCTTCATTTAGAACAATCGCGTATTGTACAAGGCCGTGGACCCACAGATATCAACATGGAACAAGGAGGTACTGTAACTATCCCGTGTGAAGGACAGATAGACTCCCTACTGGAAAGTGTCAACACCTGGTATGTGGACGGCAGGAGAATCGACTTTGAGAAGGAATCTTTCAACTACAAAAGAGTAGGTAGTTCTTTTTGCCATATGTTTTGTAATAGATACATACGTAGTTGGCAAGGTTGTCTGATGGTTAGGGTCGTTGATTCTGAGTTCGAATCCCTAGCAGGCCACATTGCATTGTTGCGTCTACAAAATGTGATAAAACTTCATAAATAGGTACACAGAAACTTATCTTAAACATCTCCGCATATATCCCTGTGATGGTTTGTTTGATGGTTTGTTTGTTTATTTAAGAAGCTCCATTAGTGATGATACATCGCTATTCTTCCTGGAGTCCTTTTCATAAAATACATTAACTATTATTTACATACAGGTTTAACTGCTATCAAGAAAACTTATCTTATCAACATAGTAAATTATACATTAAGCATCAATTAATACATCAATTGATGATATTACATTATACAGTTAACAAAAAAAAACAACTATGTACTAAATGTCTGAGAGGTCAGAGGTCATGAATTTGTACAAAATACATTCAAAACCTTTACCACCAGGAGTTAATTGGTTTTACTGAATGGTTTGACTGAATCTATCTTATAGGGTCCTAAAGGACAACTGATCGTCAAGAACGCAAACGTGATGATGCACGATGGAGATTACACATGCGCACTGGCCACTACTGCAGACGAACAGACTGCAACTGGCAAGGTCCGGATCAAAGGTGGGATCGACCTTGATGTCATATAGCAACCGGTACCTGTAGCAAGACAATGTAACATTGTCCATTAACCCTGCTGATATAAATTCGATAACATAAACTGTCATACTTCAGTTTTGTACTGGCAGTCATGCACCGTACATGGGGGAAGCCTATCTAAGTACGGTCTACTTGAAAAATTTAGCTTGCCAAGTGAAAGTTGAAAACTGACCAGTGTGCAAATGCTCCTGCCTTTGTTCTGAAGGATAGACTGTCTAGAGTTTTTATGAGTACGAGTTTATGGGCCAATTTCACTATTCAAGCTCCTGGGAAGGTCACAGTGGGAGCACTTCCTTATTGTTCTTACCCAGGGCAAGGAACCAGAGAGAACAATGTTGATAATTCAATATCCTTATGGTTTATGAGGGAAGTTCATCGATCAGTGTAGTAATCATAGTACGATGCTTTATTTCAAAACAAAGGGTAGACATCATACAAGGATCAAATTTCAACGACCACTGCAGTATTATGTCCAGTATTCTGACTTTGTCCAGTGAAACTGTATGATTCGATGATTCCATGCTTATGATTTTATTGAAGAGATTCTCTATGTCATGAAGCAAATTTTACATTATGTATGCTCTCTTATCCATACCGTATTCGCAGGTAATGCATCATTACAAGATCTAGGTTGTGTGTTTTTCTGTATTTTTGTGGGTCAGCCATTGGCGTTACCTACGAGAGCTGCATTGGCTGACTCAGTATAATGAGTTGTTTCATTTCTAATAAATGCACAAAATACATACAAATATGTCGTCCATCTATAACGAATCAGTATGTTCACAATGTCAACCATGGTCCACATCTCTGCACCCTCAGGTGTGAGCGAAGCGCCAGTCGGAGTGAAGTTTGAGAATGTGGGGTCCAACACCGCTACTCTCCGCTTCACTCAAGCCAACACCAACGGAGACAACTGTAAGGAGTACGTGGTGGAGGCGCAGACAGAGTTCGATGACATTTTCTTCACGGACAGACTGTGGACACAGGTTTGGCGGGGTGCACCAAGTGCCCTCAGAAGTGAGTACATCTTATATCAAATATGGGAGCTATATGACTGAAACAAAAAGAACGTTCAACCTGTTGTTTCCAGACACAAGAAATTGGACTTACCAAAATTTTCCGCCACATGAATCCAGTATTCGTCCAGGAATGAGCAATCCACCACTTATGTGATGTCACGTTATGCAGATGACACACGTGACTCAGTGAGCAGTAGATCATATGTAGCAGTAAGTCTGTGGCGCCCCCGTCTTTTCTGAGGAATGATTGCAATGCCCTGATGTAGATGTGCTTTGAATTTGACCCATTTGACTTAATTACATTCAGAGGATATCGTTGTTATATTCAGATGGACGTGGGGGGTCCAAGCTTCTCCGCCTGACCAACCTGAAGCCGTACACCGAGTACAGGTTCCGCGTCCTCTGCTTAAATATGTACGGTATGGGGGAGCCGAGCTGGCCGACCGAGAAAAACAGGACCTTACCAGGAGGTATGGATATCCAGATCTCTCTATTATTTTAATCCACCATACGGACGTAGCCAGTTTTTGAGCATTTCAATACGAGTAAGTCTTTTTTCATGCAATGTTTTTGAGCCAACAAGTAATGGTTGTCCAGCGATCTGTATTTCCGGTAATGAAATTAAATGAGTCAACACCCCCGTGATGTATGTAATGTAGTATCGTCTATCAACAGCTGTTGTCCATGTGATGTAGATATGCTGTAGTAGTAAAGTCACTGGGGACTAATAGTTATGCCACACTACTTTCAGGAGGGGGTTAAATTCTGTATTGTAATACATGTATCACCCATTTTAAGCTGTGTAGCATTACTGATAGTTAACATGCATTGCTAATTGATGTCTGAAATTGTTGTGAACATTATGCATTTTTACTTTAAAAGCTCAGAATTTTTGTTCAGTACTGTGTTTGCATGTTTTTGTAGCCCCATCCCGAGCACCAGGAAAGCTGGGTTACGGCAATGGCATGGCAGGAGATGTGCTGATGAGTTGGGAGGTACATGTGTATTGTTATATGGACGTGGTGATGTTAGAAGAGTACTTGAGAAAAATATAAAATATGGTCCTTCCCGATCAAGCTGATGCATAGGGCGGTGCCAATATCCGGTCCAATAGCCCGTGGAACCACTACAGCAGGGGCTATTATACTAGACATAAATGGTAATGGTGTGTGTTTTACAACTACACTCTTTCCCAAATGCTACGTGCTAAGCAGAGAAAGCAGCATGCACCATTTTTCAAACCTTGGTACATGGTATAACTTGACTGGGGATTAAACTCGCGACCTACCGAATGCAAGGCGAACACTCTACCCACTTGGACGTCATACCGGTAATGTACTGATATATAAAGACGTAATTTCTTTTGATGTTCTGTCCCGTAGCCACTTGAAGAGTCCGACTGGGGAGACTACACGATCGGTTACCGTGTACGATACCGCAGACTGGGTACCGGGGACAAGTTCAGAGTGGTCTACATCGACAACCCTGAGGCCGCAGCCTACGCACACATCCAGCCTCCAGCACCCATCAACGTGCCGTACGAGTGTAAGATCGCGGCTTACAATAACTACAGTGTCGGACCGGAGGCCTCGTGGATCGCATATTCATCTTCAGGGCGTAAGTCAATTTTCTCTTTAAATATACTACTGACTACAATGCTCAAAAGTGATCTCTAATATTCTCTGAGATCCCTAAACTGTACGTAATGCTGAGTTTAAAATATTTGGTTTTCAACACCTTAGAAAATGCATTGGACTCCTTTATCCTACAACCGCTTAAGCATTTTTCTCGGTGAATACTTATTCTTTCCAGTAGATCACGTCAATCATTGATACATTGTTCTTATTCCCATTCTAGTACCAGATTACCCAAGAAACTTGGAAATCATAAAACAGACCAACAACAGTGTGACGATGCAATGGGACAAGATCCCGAACTTCAACGGCCCGATCCCGTTCTGGGGTGTCCGGTACTGGCGAGAGCAAGACCGCCCAAGGGCCGCTCGTCGAAACGTGAGTTTTGAGCAATGCATATATATTTTCACCATATTATATTGAATGTAGTATATTACATGAAGTAAGAATGACATGGCGAAACAAAACTTGTTTTGAAATTTCATCTATGTTAGTAGTTACATGTTTTTAACAAGTTAAAGCTTTTGTTCTAACACAAGGGTTTGTTCCAACCTAGAGTTTTCGACCAGTCACTCTAGTCTTCTCCAATAGACTGACCCCCAATAGACTGACCCATAGAGGCCACTGTTATATACATTTTTTCAGTAGAAGAAGACCAAAGTAGCTGGCCAAAAGCTCTAGATGAGAAATCTGTGTTGGAACAAAAGTTTTTACATGTTTTGAAAACATAAAACATATCTTCGAAATTCTTAGACTATCTTCATATCCTAGAATGTTAGCCATCGTAGTTGTGCAGTGCTAATCTCATGATGAAATACAAAGTAAATAGAATAGAATAACTACATTTGCTTTCAGTGATATTGACCACGTGGCTATGCTTCTTTCCTTTCCCCTAGTCTACGATACGGTACAAACGTTCAGTCAGCTGGTGGTGGGACACCTGGGTAAGTACTAAAACTCACGTTTACCTCATATTTCAATAGAGGAAATCATTTAAACATTAGATAGGTGTACAGACTAGACACCTTTTACCTTGACATTTATGTCAACTACGTATCACCCTGCAATCATATGATTTAAATACAAACTACTCAAGGCCATTTACAACAGATTTGAAACACAGACTTGACCTCCCGTGTACTTGGAACACTTCTTGTGGGTGCAGTTCTTTCATTGTCTCAAGACCCCATTAATTCTTGTTTTAACATGATTCATTCCACTTTATAATTAGATATATTTGAATTATGCTTAACTTATTACATAGTAATTGCCTGTTTCGTATATTTTTATATATTGCCGTAATTGACTGTGTATATTTTGTTGTTGTGCATGTGTTTTCACACACACATACATTGTTTTTTGTATTGAGGAGGGCACCTTTGCTTTGCCCTCCCTTTCACTTTGTACAAAACACGTATACCAATAAACAAATCAGCCTTCAGGCAAGGGTTTGCAGTAATTTTCAAAATGATGTTGATGATACTTTCCATCATAGTAATTCCCAGAAGCATGGCTGTGGACAGAAGATTAACAAACTTCATTATTCTGTGAATAGCAAAGTTCTTTCTATCACAACCATTTATTTTTAAGCCGACGTTTCGATGACCTTCTGTCATCTTCATCAGGGCAATTCTGACGGGTTACTGTGCACTGACACTAGATATTACATAGTGCATAGTGCACTAAAGGTGTTACATAGTTCATAGTGCACTTTTAAGCTTAAAAGCTAGTTTTTTCTGTTTACAATACATTCCGGAACGTAGTGTAATTGTGACATACATACAAGGCATTGTTACATCATAGGGAAATATGCGGTTCCAAATGTAAAGTGTTTCTATATATAATATAGATTTGTTAACTGACAGCTTCATTATTAGCTTCATTGTTAGCTTCATTATTCTGTGTTTTGAACGTCTTTCCTATAGCTCCGTTACATCCCAGAGGAAGAGGAGGAGGATGAAACAGGGTTCCAGTACGCCCGTCTCTATGACGACGGTCTGACAAAAGTACCAGGACCTCCTGGCAAGGAGACGTACATACTTCGCGGACTTCAGCCGAGCACGCTCTATAACTTCCAGGTTGGAAACTGCATTCTTTTTGTGCTTTACCCTGTTTCATATAACAACCGTGTCTCTTGTAATTTGCAATGACCATGCAGGTGCCACCAATTTTGTCGTGGTACATTCAGGATCAAACTAATACCCGTGACCATGAGGTTATAGGTCGGGAGCGCGTCGGCAGAACGTACTGCACCTGCACGAAACCCGTAATGTATTGTGCATATCACTTCGGCAGAACGTCTCATATAAGGTCGTCTTCACGTATATAAGGTTAACATCCGCTATCATACTTTGATCGTTTATGTCTACATGTCACGTAACGCATACTAAACGCTTTGCTTTGCTTCCAGGTGCGAGCCAACAGCCATCCATATTTTGGCGAGTACAGCAACATCACCCGTGCGATAACACTGAGAACTGGCAACCCGTGGCTCCAGGGATGTGAGTTTAATGTTACAGTAACATTTTGACCATACAGAAAGTAACACCTTTACAACAGCTTACGGCCTTACGGTACCAGATTGATGACTTGCTCACTCTGGGACAGATTGTACCTTGCCATATCCATAACAACCTAACCTAAGTGCCATGCGGAAACACATACACACACACGGACACACACGCACGCACACACGCACGCACACACACACACACACACACACACACACACACCAAAACAATACCTCCATTTTTCATGAAGGTAATAACCCACTACATGTATTACATTGTTCCTTCCCAGTGAGAGGCACCTGGTGGATCCCGATCCTGTTCTGGTTCATGGTGACACTACTGATCGTCCTGCTGCTCATCCTTTCCTGTTGCTGCTGTCTTTGGTGCAGTGTGAGGCATCGTGGCAAACCCGTAAGTCTTTTTGCTGTCATTTGACCTAAGTGAGGCGCTAATAATAAATCTTTAGGTCAGAATAAACGCGAGATGTTTGGACATATGTCTAGTAGTACAGCCCGGCCATAGCTCCAGTCATGGATTCAAATTTGGCACCTCTGGAATTTTACCGTTCACGTGAGTCATGAATATTAATCGCACCCTGACCAATCAGGGCTGAGTCTTCACGTGACCAGCAGCGCAGGCCTTCAAATATTTACTAGTTCTTCATGTCTCAATTCTCAGTAGTAGGATTTAGTGCATGTTGGGTAAAGATCCCAATGGTTTTTTTTCCAAGTCAGTTTTTTAAACTTTAAGCGCAATACTATATGGTAACTACGGTGTATTCTATGTCTATGCTCTTTACTATATATACATGTATAAACATTTGATGTGTATGCCTCATATATGGTTTTAGGAAACTGAATTTACTTTCACTCACGTGCACATTTTGACTTATGTCAAATTACAGAAAAATGAACTATTTCTCCTGGCCAAGACCAACGGAAAAGCAAAGAATTATGAAGTAGATGGTGAGTTGATTTAATAATTCTGTATGCAGGTGTCCATCTACATATGTAACATATTTAGGTCGAATAATTGTTAGGAGATTTCGTCATCTATAATAAGTAACAAATTGTTTTCAGTTCATGTTAACATTAATTGTTTTAGATATTTTCAATAAATTTTTCCTTGTAACCTTTAAATGAATTGTTTATCACCTAGTCATGACAGACTACCACAAGGGAGTGTTGAAGCAGTTTCGGGACACTATCGTCAGATACGTCAGTCCGAAACCTGTTACTGACCATCTCGTCAACTGTGATGTGAGTATAAAAACATTAGAACAAGTCATTCTTGTTAACAAGTTAACGCCTGTCCATATACACACAGACAGCGTTGCATACAGCATGTGACTACATGTACATAACAATACAAACTGCATAGAGCACTACCTATAATAACCTAACGCAAAAACAGCTGCCTTCTAAGAATAAGGTTTGCGCAATGCCTCCAGAAATTGCTGTGATTGTACAAGTCTGAATGGGCGAAACAACTGAATACTGACAAAAGAACAGGTTATATCCATCTATATATCAATTCAGTAACTATCTTAAAAGTTTCTATCCATCTATCTACATTTCTATCCATTCATCTATAATAACCGATCTATCTACCTACCTACCTAGTATCTATCTATCTATCTACCTCAGAATTCGAAGAAGTTATTAAAATCCAAAGTAGCATCCTCTAGTTTACGACACCTAATTGCCAGTTGTCTTCGTGGTGTATTTGCTATAATGAAAACTGTTGTTTTAGGCCCTACCCCAGGCAATAGCAGGGCAGATCGAGCAGATTGAGCAGATAGAGGATCCCGATTCGGCCAATGAGAGGCTTCTGGACATCCTGCCGAACCGCCCAGATTTTGCCTTTGACCGATTCTGCGATGGAGTCCGCCCTGAACACCCTTGGCTGTCTGATCTACTGGAGGGGGAAGGTACGCTTGTAATGTATAACGGGCTTTGGAAGAAAGGCCGTTATACGTTACACAAACCTAGGATCTGGATATTTCTTAACAATAATCTTTATTTGTAAAAATCATGCCCGGAGGCTAATTGCATATACAGGATTTAAAAAATCAAGTAAAGCAGTAGATAACGTACAACTATTGTCTGATCAACTTAAACTATGTTTATGAAAATTTTAAAATGTTTTCCAACTCATAAATTTCACTCACCGGAATTTTCGACTGAATCACTCAGTCTTCCCCAGCTATCTGACCCAAATGGTGTAGACACGTGATTTTTCCCATGTGTGACGTCAGCAAAGGGGTCAAAGGTTGTCCGAAGTCGATATCGCCCCCCCCCCGTCCCGGTTGAGCGAAGGTTGAAGTAAACTATGTTTGCTGGTATGGGTTTTGACTTTTTCTTTGAAGGCAGTGAGTGGACAATGTAGCAGAAACGTAGTTTTTGTGATCTTCTAGATAATAAAAGAATGGGGAGATTATGGCAACTGCTTGAAGCAATCTGTTTCTGTTGGTCTCGTATTAAGTACAGTCCTTGTCTCATGGCTATACCTCATTCCGTTGTTCCCAACAGAAGAAGAAATGACAGACGACCACAGGACCACCCTTCAGTCTCACCAGGAGACCCTGGCTGCTACTGTTGACCCTCATCCAGTCATCAGCCACATGGAGGAGAATAAGGTAGGGGTTTCTTACAGAATGATGCCACTTAGATTAAGGACATGCTGATTTAATTATATGGATGACACGCGAATGAATTTTCGACTGTTTCAAAAAAGCTTTCGCAACACTTTAAACCGTACAAAGCAACTCAGCAAACATATGCCGTATATTGCAAAACAAAATATTGGAAAACGATACTAATTTCGTTGAATGCAAAAAAAAATTAATTCGAAAGGAAAAGAAGAAAATGTAAAGAAATGAAAACGAAGAGTCTGTAATTCACCATACTATGTGTGTTTAGCCATTTAGTCATAGTCTTTTTTATTCGCACACTCAGAGGGAATCCCCAGACAATGTCGTCCATATAATCAAATCAACACAGTCGATAGAAATAACTATAGAAAAACCAACAAAAATAACAAATGGCGAAGGTATTAAATGTTTGACCTATAGTCTTAAGATGTCACCATGTCAACTCAAGCACTTTGATATTTTTTATATGTGGGCTGTTGATTAGCCTGGTGTCCAGTCTATCGTGGTTGTGGTGGGTTCTCTTCGGGGTTGCAGAAGATCTACCCCGCCCGACTCAGCTAGGTTCCCCGGTAGATTTTGCAGCTGGCAGCGCTAATCAACTCCTGGAGTGCAGACTACAGGAGTAACTCTCCTACCGGGCGGTCTGTTGAGCTGGACGGGGAAAACTATTAGAGCGCCGAAGACAGGCGGTCCCAACCACGATAGATTGAATACCAGGCTACCTTGATATGCCCATCTGACGATTTGCTGTTTACAGTACTTCAACCCAATGGAGGCAGAACACCTCATGAGCCTTTCCAGCAAAGAAGAGACGAACAATACCGTGATTGACATGCTGAAAGATCGTCCTGATCCCGCCTTCTACCACTACCTGATGTGTCTGGAGAAGCAGGACACCGAACTAGCTGCCAAGATAGGAGGTGAGATCATTGTACTGCGGTACATCCTCGTCTGGTGTAATGATGCACTGCGTCTTTGTACCCTTGATATCTTGAATAAAAAGGATAGAACAATGTTTCTACTTTGTTACCTCCGGGGAAGGAGACATCCTTCCGCGGAAGGGTTTTGTAAGAGATTTAGATTTTCATCTTCGCAGCTGTTTCTCGCGTTTGGGTGGACGGGTATTTTTGGGACTCGGTATCAGTTTTGCTGTTGAGCTGTAGATGATTCACGTTCTTTTGTTTTTATTGCATATGTGTTTTCGGGCGTGCCCGAACTAGCTGCCAAGATCGGTGGTGAGATCATTGTACAGTGGTACATCATCTTGTGTTGTACTGATCCACTGCGCAGGAAAGAAGCGGAGAAAAGAACGCAGTTACTGTCGCATAGGACTGTCTAGATACAACAATAGCTGTAGGACTTTACAATAAGGACTTAACCATTGTCAATATTGACCGAAGGAGGCCATATATATACCAGTACATCCTCCTGTATATGGAATGACGTCCATCTCTACAATTTATCAAACCCAACAGAAGAGAGTTATTGTGGTTAGTGCACACATAGTAATAAATGAATGGTTGAAACACAGCCCCCTGGCGGAGATAGGAACCCAGGTGGTGCAAGGTACGTGCGTCAAGCTATTTAGAATCCGAACATTTTAGATCTAATACATACAAGTAGAACACATGTTAATATATTGAGCTGCATGAATATTGCACTTCATGTAGCATGCTACTTACAGCATGAGAACAGTCAAAGCCAACAGTATTTCTTGATATTCCCAACTCCCAATTCCAGTGATATTCCCAACTCATCAGCTATCCGCATCTCCCTCTCTCTCAGGCCCAGACTACCAGGTGAACATCAAGAGGCTTCAGCTCGAGATGGAGACCAGGGCCAACATGGAGACCGTCATGAGGATGGACACCCGCCTGCAGCCTTCTCACATGGTCGCTGACGGACCGTGGGACGATATCGATGATAAGAGTGGTAAGCACTCTAGAAAAGGTACGATGTTGTCCGTATTACATGGCTGTTGGTGGTGCCAGGGTTAGCCTGGAAACAGAGTATACCGCGGAGCTTGTAGATTATAGCCGGGCCCCTAGCGACTTGGCCCTTGAAGCGACTCCCGCTAGCCGACGGAGTTACCCAAACCCCGGGCCAAGTCGCCAGGCCTAGGGACACGGTTATGAGCCCGGCGGTAACTCTGGCTCCAGGGTAGGTCAGGGTTAGGGTTATGACATCATTGTTTAATAGCTAGCATCTTGTCAGGTATTTTCTGCTGTGCAATTTTTTTATTTTTTATTCATTTTTTGCTTTTTTTTATTCCAACATTTAACATAACACCTGGTGAGGGTACACTTAAGCTTTTTTTTTCAACTTATATTTTTAGACCACCACCGACGAAAGGGACAATGCTTTAGGGCGTTTGTGGTCTCAAGTGTCATGAAAAAACAACAAAACTGTTCTTAAAGTAAAGAGTGCAAGAATATTGCAAGATACATTTCCTGTATCCTGCTTTAGTCATGTTCTATACGATAGACCATTTCTGTATCTGTATCTGTATCTGTATAGCCGGTATAACCGCCTTTCGGCGTAACACACCAGCTTCGCAGGCACGCGGCGCGGCGGCAGCTGGCTATATTACACCGATCGACTTGTTACACCTAACCCTTGAACTTCTAGCTCTAGACATTGTTTAAAGCTATCTATTGACAGTGCCCCTACTGTACTTGGTGACAGTGAGTTCCACTCTGCGATAGTTCTAGGAAAGAATGAATTCTTGAACACCTCAATCCTTGGTTGATAACTCTGGTACTTGAATGCGTGGCTATTTCTTGTTCTCTTCTGGCTGGTATTAGGTACTTAGTAGTTGGGACATCCACCAGTTTATTAGTCATTTTGTACATCATGCATAGTCTAGACATTTTTCTTCTGTCTTCAAGTGAGGTCCACTGTAGGTTTCTTTTCATTTCCGTGACACTAGCACCTCTTACATAGTTGTTCATACAGAATCTTGCAGCTTGATTCTGTACCCTTTCCAATTTGTCTTTGTCTTTCTTTGTATATGGATCCCATACTGTCGCAGCGTATTCTAGGTTCGGTCTTACAAGTGACGTGTATGCAAGTGATTTTACTCTCGTTGGACATGCCCACAGATTACGTTTAATCACTCCCAATGTCTGTTTCGCCTTAGTTATGATATTATTAACATGTGCACCCCACTTCAGTCCGCTTGTCAGCGTGACGCCCAGATACGGATGGATTTTTGGCGACGCCTCAGGGCGGAGCCCTTAGTATACTGGTAGCTAGTTGCATGTGGTGTTCGTTTGTTTGTTATGTGCATAATGTAGCATTTTTCGGGTATTAAACTGCATGAGCCATTTGCTTTGCCATTCTTCCAGGGTGTTCAGGTCTTTTTGGAGAAGTTGTGAGTCGGTCTGTGTAGAAAGCTCTACATACAATAGACAGTCATCGGCAAATAACCTCACATTTGAGTCAAGCTGATCTGGTAGGT